GCAGGAATACTTAGATCATTAGAATAAAATATTTTATTATACCTGATCTAGCCTCAATGGAAGTACGCTTTTACAATCCGCTCAATGACATTTTACATAACCGTTCTAACATCGTCGTCAAAAATTCTCACTTCCGATTCACAATCAACTAAATGCAGTCACTATTATGAAACAAGACAGAATCTCTTAATTCCATCAGTTGCAAATTTTAATTTGCACTATCGTGACACTATACATGATGAAATTTTATAAAATCGCTTTGATGCTATTCGATTACCATATCAATGATTATTGGTGACCAAATACCTCTTTCACCACAAGATTTTCCAGCCTCTTGCGCCGCATTGTTTTTATTCCTAACGAATTACTAAAATACCGTGACTCTTCGAAGCACTTAGAAAACGTTAGCTCATGGTTACCATGGGCCAAAATAACCTTACTCAAGGAACCCGGGTTACAATACGAATTAACACTAGAACTACTGGATGGGTTAAAATGACCCATTCTTGATTTCATTTTTTCCAGTTATTCAACAGATAACAGACGCTTCTGTGAGAAAGTATTAGAGAAACTAATTTAGCAATACACAAATTGAATTGCAAACCAACTGAAATTTCAATAATTGTACTGTTGAGGTTTTTACAGAACAATTTCAAAAAAAATGATTTAACTGCTCGGTAGTTCTAGTGTTAAACAGCGATTAGGATTTCCAACAGATTTCGCTCTCAAAATTCACGCTGGATGTGTCACGGTGTTGTGTATAGATGGTAGCAGCGTATGTGGATGGGGTCATCACGATGAAGATACGCCTTCAACTAGCGATAAAACAGGGGGAAAGGGGGAGGTGAGAAGAGGGAAAGAGAAAGGCAAACAGACAGACAGCAGACGTACAGACAGAGGGAGAAAGAGAGAGAAAGAGAGTTTCTGTGAGAATCAGCTTGACGGTACGTAAGGTCGCGTGTAGAGCACTTGCTCTGGGTAGACAGGCACGTTGCAACGAAGAAGTAAAGTCATGGAGAGTGCATGGATCGATGGTTGCCTGAGTAACAGCTCGGTCCCGGACAGAGCTGTTGCCTGAGTAACAGCTCGGTCCCGAACAGAACGGCCAATTTTGTTCATAATATGCACGCTGTCGACAAATAAAACTGTCGTGGGTTCAGAACCACTGTCCACCTCTTAGACGATCGTGCCGAGTTCTTGTTTATCGTGACGGGAACGTGTTTTTTTCCCCCGCTTCTTTCTTCCCGTCATCGAGCGACAAAGCAAAAAAAAAGCGACACTCGGTACGCGCGCAACGTATCGGGACTATCAGAGGTGTCCTCGATGTTGGAAGGAAAGACACTGTAGGCTGCGCGGAGATCCGGAGCGGATCGACCCTGCACGTTCGACGGTACGCGAACGGCAAAATGGCAATTGCGAAGGGACAACTGCGTTGTTCGGGAACACGTTTGGAGACGTGTCACAGCCGGCACGATCATTTCTATGTAATAGATCACTGAATCGGTCGGGACGTGCACGACCATGAGACTTTGTCGAAGGACTCGAAGGCGTGCACAGGGGAGACCATATTCGTGCGTTTTAAATAGAGAGGATGTACCATCGCAGTGACAAGTACTCACCACCAATGCTGAGAGTTCTCCATCGCGTTTTCCGCTTAGAACCCTTCTTGCCCATCTCTCATGAAGATCGAGCTGGTCCTCCTCCCCTGTGTCTCTCGCCTTCCCAGCGATCTCGGCCAACTTTCTAGGACGAAAGCTCCGCCGAAATCATGTTGACCGCGACGGATATCTCGTCACTACCTTCGAGGTAGCATCTTATCGACTGTCTGTCGACAAACGAGTCCCGTGTTGCTGGTCTTCTCGAGAGAAAAAGCTTTGGAACGAAACTCCCGACGAACGAGGCCTGCCCGTAGCAGAAGACAACTCTAATACGTAATCCGCGTCGCACGAATAGCGACCGCACACTGCTGTCCCCACCTCACCCCTCCGTTATGGTCCCCACCCTGTACCTGCTGTTCCCCTACCTCCGGCCTCTGTCATCTTCGACGAGGCTCCGCGGTCCACGAGATTCTTATCGCATTATTATGAATACGAAATGAATGTTCTGTTAATCACGCGTGCCCATGGGTTTCTAATATCGAAACGCATAACCTAAACGCGGAATCATCGAGTGTCATACGAACTGACGACCATGAAATCGATTCAAAGTTTTTCTTAAGGATTCAAACACTTCGAATGGCGGTCAATTGCCGCATGCGTATAACCTCGGCGATCGCCGCGCCTCGATTGGCTGTTGCCATGGCAACCGATGTAAACTATCGCACGCCATTTTATCCGGTTACGATTGAAACGAGGCATCACGGTGGCTTTTTTCTCTCTGACGTGCAGAAGTTTTTAATTGTTTCTTTGCGAACGGTTTTCGGATTCGTAATTCTTTAGAAGTCACATAGGAAGATTATGGATTCGTGATTCCATAATCAATTTATGTCTGAGAAGAAAAAGTTTCGATGTTTTATGATTTGTGTTGATAGGTTAAGAAATTAGAGTATTGGCGAAGCAATTAAACATGTTGAAAATACTTTCGCTACATGATTTCGACTGTCCTTCGTTTGATGAACCAGCCGCCGTTGGGTTGATAGGAAACACTGTGCATTATTGCGGTTACGAAAAGTTGCAGGACGAATTGCAACCTTTCTTTAAATATGTGCGAGAATATCCAGATGTTTCGATTGCCCCAGATATTCTTGCTACACGTGAAACGGCGCGCACTATTTGTGCTGGTGATTTCTTTCTGCCAGTCCATGATAGTATCTTTAAAAAAATAGCCAGCGTGTGGAGGGAAAAGGGAGTAGCCGAAGCTATTTGTCTGGCTGCATCCACAGATCCTGAAGAAGTCACAAAAGTTGTGCATTGGATTGCTACAAGGTTTTAATAGCGGAATTGTTAGCATAATTGTTTAGCTTTACAAACAATTAGCAATACATGTTTCCTTTCAGACTTAAATGGGCATTAGATTTAATGGACAAAGGAATATATCAAAGAGAAACTTTACCAATTAGTGGATCAGGCTCAGTTGCAGATATTGTTCATACAAGGGATTGGGACACAGCTCTTGTAAGAACTTAAAGTAAATCAATATTTATAGTTTGCATAATCTGTTATTTACTTTTAATGATATGTTTTAGATCAGGTGTCTTTCTTGGCATCCACATTGCCCTCGGTTAGCAGTAGTCACAAAAGATGATCGTATACGTATCTTCTCTCGGGGAGTACCAGTAATACCTGTTTTAAGGCATAGTGCTCAGAAATCAGTTTGCTGCATAAGCTGGAGACCGTTTGCTGGCAAGGAATTAGCAGTGGCTTGTCAAGCAGGTGTATTAGTCTGGACAGTAGAATTAAGCGCAGCCAGTAATTCGCTTAGTCATGCAGTGTTATTAAGTCAAAGGAATCATATGCCTGTTACAAGTGTCACATGGCATCCACAGGGTGATTTATTGGTGTCCTGTTCACCAGCAGATACTAATATGATTATCTGGGACACTTCTAAAAAGGAAGGTGTTCCACTGAGACGAGTTGGAGGTGGTGGCTTATGCTTCACTCGTTGGTCATCTTCTGGTTCTCAATTGTTTTCTGCGTCATGTAGAAATATATTTAGGTATGTTGTTTTCTATTTGTTATTGTAGTTTAAAAGTCTAATATTCTGATTATTGATTATCACATGAAGAGTTTGGAATACGGGAGTAGCAACAATATGGCATGCAGATAAATGGACAGTGCCAGATGGTCGTGTAGCAGTTGCATGTTTTGGACCAAATTTAACATTGTTATTTGCATCAACTGATGATTCTGCAACAATCTTTGCTCTACCCTTGCAAGAAAATATTTTCGACGTCAAAAAGACGTCTGTTGAGAATACCGTAGCAGTGCCTCTCATAGATTTAACGAGAGTCAATTTTTCGTCGGATGATGATTACGTTTCGATAGGTGGAAGAGTAGTTGGAATGGAATGGGATCCTACAGGGAGATACCTTGCCATACTCTTCCAGGTATGATGCTTACTTATAGAACCATTGAAACTGAAGATTCTTTTATAAAAAGTTCGACTAATATATTTCATATTTATGTAGAATAGTCCCTTGGTTGCATTGGTTAAAACCAAAGTGGGTAATATGTCACGTGTAGTCGACATTAAACCCGGTTGTCTCATCAAAGGATTTCCAGGCGAAGTCCCGAATTGCATGAATTTCTATCAAAAATACGATAGCCAGTCACCCGCGATTTGCTTAACAATCGCATGGAACAGTGGACGAATACAACATTTTCCAATAGTCGAAAAGGAACCTGCGCCAAGCTTGAATACAACTAGCACATTGTTGTCGCACTCGTTTGCAATGAGACACGATACATACAATTTCGACTTAAGTGCCACGTACGCCTAATGTTAATATTTATTAATCTCGTGTCGACTCAAGAAGCTGCAAATGGTCTTCCAACCATGTTTTTATACATTTATTTGGTATTTGTACACAACAATTGTACGGTCGAAGAGTCCAAAACATTTTTTTTTGTTAAATGAACCTCAAAGAAGCAATAAACCGTACGAAAACGTTCAGTGAAGTAAACAGCACAATTGGTTAGAAATTCAATGATACTTTGTAACTGACTCGACATCTCGCCCGCAGGGAGCAAAAAGGGAAAGAAATCATTGGTCTCGTGTTAGGCTTTTCTAATGCTTTAGCCTTCTAACGTATGGGATATACAACGAGACGGCTCGGGTTCGGTACCTAATTATACGAAGTCACATGCAGAGCGCACGTCTTTCTATTTTTACGTCGCTTGACCGAATGCTGAACGCCGACACGTACATGCGTGACGAGTCCCGCACTATTTCCAATACGTTCTCTGTCTACTATACTCGCGGCGTTGCAACTCTAAACAAAAATTAACTGCTCCATCGTTCTAGAAACCCCTTCGTCCTAAATATATATTTCTCAGGCGTAGTCCATCATTTCTGACTGACACTGTATTTATGATTACGGGCAAAGCGTACTCCGTGAACGTGAATTATAGAGGTAAATGCTATAATTGTAACTAACGCGTCGAGTTTATAGCGGCTATGCCTTAGAGGTTGGTTTCCTGCGCTAACGATGTCGACCGTTCTTTTCTTTCTTTTTATAAGGGTCAGCCTCTTCGCACGCTGATCGAACGTTAGTTAAAGATACCTGTCCTCTCCCCCACCCCCTTCCTCCATCGACTCTTCTCAATTCTCTCTTTCTGTTATTGCATCCGTATGGGGTGTACGATCGAAATCCTTTTTCCAGTATATTTATTTTAATGTCAGTCGTACACATGCGGCGGCTATGGTACGAACGGAGTTGACAGGTGCCCGGGCAAAAAAGCGTGGCCGAGAGCCGGGCATAGTATGTATAATGTAAGCATAGAGGGCTGGCAGGCCACATGTGCCACTCTATTACTTATCTACCCGTAATATGACGTATAACCCGGCCATAAGATGCAACTGCGGTCGCATCTGTGTGCGTGACTGCAGGAGCCAAGATGCACACGCGTGTGTACACACGGGGGTGAGTAGGAGGATGCGTGGCGCGCGGCTGTGTGCACGTTCGCCTGAAAGGAACTGGGAGCAACAGCTTGCGAGATAACGCGTGTCGCGAGAATCGTTCCCGCATCATAACAATGCGTTTTCGATTAAGGCGGTTGATGAATGGAAGGATGACTCGTTTGCAGTTTGATCATCCTCCTTGTTGAAATAAAGGGTTGCCTTGATTCAACGTTCAACTCTCTTAGTACCTCGTAATATTTCTGGGTGTCATTTAGAAATACCTTAGAAAATCAACGTATTGAAGAAGATTATTAGAATTAACATATTTTTACTGAGAATAAAGGTAACTCTTGCAGCGGATATTTCGACTGTTGGGTACTAAGAGAGTTAGCATTGAAACTTGTAATGAAAGAAAGTTGGATTTATCAATTTCTGGACAAATATTTTCCAACTTCGCATCGAATGTTTCGTTAATTTTATAAAATAATTGTATACAATTTATAAAATAATAAAAACCCTATTGACACAGTGAACGTAAACAATCGTAGTTTCATAGGAAAGGGTGCCAAGGATGGTCATCTCGTTAGGCAAAACGAATCCGAGATTCGTGTACCCACGTAAACCGATATGATTAATGGACCACGCGCAAGTAGCTCTCAGTAGTTACCGCACGAACGCAGCAACAAAAATTTAGCGGGGAGAAGAAGGGAGGAAAAAAAATGAACGGTACAGTGTGTTTTCTCTGGAAGACATTAACATTCTAACTTATGCGTGCCCTTCTAACGCGCGCCACTTGACTCCGTCAACCAGACTTCGAACGGAACCCCGAAGTACGCTTGCCGAAAAGTTCGTGGGCGCGAGTCAAGGACCGCTCTCGTTCAAAACAAGGGACTCGGAGGGACGGAGGGGCCAGAGAAAGGAGGCGAGGGTGTGCGCAATAAAAGCGGCCAGCGATATCGAGGCGTATTCGCGCGAAAGTGTAAAAGGCAGAGGCGAAAAGGAGATGAACGGGGAGGTCGGTGAAATAATAGTAGGCTGTAATAGGAGGAAGGAGTGAACGACTTGCCCTCATGTGTGCGCGCGAAGAAGCTGTTGTTAATAAGTGACGCGTGTGCGGCAGCTGGTTTTACGTTTTTTGCCCTGCACCCGATTCTCGGGGTTCGACCGACGAAAGATCGGCCTAGGCACCACCTCCCACCCTTTCCCCCTCATTCTGAAGTTGACTACACTACACCTCGGAATATTCCTACCAACACTCAAAGGGATGCCGATAAGCGTTTCCCCCTGGGATTAGCAAAGTGAAGAACACTCGATCCACCTGTCAATCCTCTATTAACCATTTCAACATCTAACCAACAACTAGATAATGATTCTGCAAGAGATTCAACTTAAGTCATTCTGTTCAGAGTAGGGGTGCGATCCACAGCGATTCTCAGAAACGACGACCACCCTGAACTCCCGATCAACAAACCCCGATGATCAACGCGTCACCGAGCGATCAAAGAAAATCGTTCCAGGAATCTATCCTAACTGGGCGAAAAAAAAGAACGGGAGAAGGAACGTCGGGCACGGAATATCGAGAGGAGAGACACGAAAAAGGGAGACGACAGACAGACGTGCGCGCAGATGTGCCCCGCCACCCTGACGCGGCCCGGAGGACCGAGCGACGCGCGGCCCGCGGTGCAGAGGCAAGTGCACCCGATGCACAAGTGCCTCGGCGAAGCGCATCTTTCTCTCGAGGGGAACGAAGCAGCCACGCGAGTGGGCGGCGCGTACCCTTCTTGCCAGCTTCTTCCTTCGGGAGGGTGGAGGGGATCCTCTCCGCTCTCGTTGTCGCTCGTTGTCTGCTGGAAAAACGCGGCGATGTCTTGTCCTGGCTGATAGTCTTCGTGGAGACGCGGGAACGGGTGTACAGGATTGGGACCGGCCTCTCATCTCGGGGTCAGTTACATCGAGACGCCACCCTACTCACCACGCCGATTCGTGATTAAGATCGCGCGCGCGTGCCGCGCGGACTTGGATCTCGTGTGATAACATTATCGAATACCGAAACCTCGAGTTCTGACGAACTTGGAACTTGTATCCACCGACCATGAGGCGCTGGAGAGTTTGAGCGGTGTATTGTTGCCCCGACACTTCAGTGTAGATACCTAATAGGTACGTCTCGTGGCTCCCTTGCTAACTTTCGAAATGCTTTCTGTGGAATCTGTAATATCCTGTTAGTGTTATACGAAGTACTTAGTACTACACGAATATTCATCAATTTACAGAGTCTGTTTCGTACCGTGACTCCTACGCGATGCATCTCGAGGATTACCACGAGGACAGGAACGAGGAGGAGGTCCAGCGCGCAGTGTCCAGGAGCATCAAACAGGAAGGCTTCAATTCCTTGCACTTCACGCCGATCACCACAATGGCAAGCAACCCCCAGCAGGCTTGCTGGGCAACGTCTCACGCGGATACCGGCTTGTCTTCCCCGATTCTCCCAAATAATTCGAGTCTTCACGAGTACACCGACTGGGAACAGCTTACAGCTGCGTTCCAGTACCCTTATCAGCAGCACTCGGTGACGGACAGGTCGCCGGGTAGCACTGGTAGCGAGGCGACCACGCCGACGTGGAACAATGTGGTCCACAGTGATCTATCGGACTGTTCGAATGGGCAGCGACTGCCATCGGTGGGCTCCGCGTTCTCCTTTTCGCGCAGCTTCTCGAACACAGTGTATCCTGAGTACCAGGGCTACCAAGAGTACCCAGAGTACCAAGACGACGTCACGGTGTCCTTACCATTGATTCTTCACGCACAGTCGGATAGTCAAGGATTCACTGGACCCATGCAGAATGCTACCGATGAGTTTGACCTAAGCTTGATAAGAGGTGACCCAACGTCCCTTCTAAACAATGTGGAGTCACCTTCTTCGCCGTCTTCGACGTACCTGGAGGAGCTACAGGACCCGTTCTCCAATTTGAACGGATCCTGCTACGCGGTTGGACATTTGGTCTCCGGGCAACAGTCTTCTATTTCCACAATGGCGTTCGTCAATGACAACAGCCTGGGCGATAGTTTCGGCAACCAAGTTGTTCTTCCTAGGAACGAAGGCCTACTACTGACTGATCGACGCGTGCCGATTGCGAAGACTGGATCAGATGCGGAGAAACGTAGTAAATCTTATGGTGAGTTTGGGGTACACTGGGAGACCGTAAAGAACGTGTTAAATAATTCGTTGCTCCGTCTAGTTTCAACATTCTTGCTCAAATCATCGATCAAACTTACATGTTCTCACAGTCCCAACATTTGAAAAAAAAACTTATGAAATTGTAATTACTGTTATATTTATAGTAGTCATTCACCTACCAATCTAACTTATATTAAATTCATTTCAAACCAAATCTAAATCTCACTTTCATCAATCTCGTTTGAAGAGGACAAACGGTAGCAACTTCATTTAAGTGCGTAAACTTATTAAGTAAGTAAACTCTTGTACCTACCGCAGTCGACTCAACGAGCGGTTAAGGAAGAATGATGTTGTTTCGGAAAACACGTAAGAAAAGCTAAACACAGACGAGTTAAGAGGCAACAAACAATCTTCTTCGAATAGTGTCCTCAAGTGGCACTCGTAGACGCTCACTAATAAGCGTAGCGTCTCCCTTATTTACACGGATTTCGGTCGCTTGATGACGAGTTTACCTTTCTCCAGACTGTTCGACGCCAGAGGAAAACCTGACCTCGACGTATCAGTGCCGATGGATAGACTGTGGCTGCGCGTTCGCGGAACAGGAGGGTTTGGTGCGTCACATAGAAAGAAGACATGTCGAATCCTCATCGTCGAACGCGCACGGACATGGCAGAAGGATCCAGAGGGACAGGGACAAGGACAAGGACAAAGAAAAAGACGTGGACACTTATACCGCTACCGGAACCGGGCAGGACGAGTTCGCGTGTCTCTGGCAGGGTTGTCCACGTGCGCGACCGTTCAATGCAAGATACAAATTGTTGATTCATATGAGGGTTCATAGCGGCGAGAAACCGAATAAGTGTCCAGTAAGTAGCGCCAGTCAATCTTAGGTGTCTAAATGGTACTGAAAGCTTTCGAATAGTGTTTTCCGGTGTTTCATAATCACTGGCGTTAAGTCTTTAATGATTGAATTAAATTTAATCTATTTTCTTTTATTGGTAACATTTTTAGGTAACATAGAAGTTAGAGAAAGAGTTAGTTTATGTTGATATTGTATGTAGTAATTGTATACTGATTTATCCAGTGATTTATTGGTGTCATTGATATGTACCTACCTGACGTATTGTAAACCTTCGAGGAGTCTTGAAAAATTTGAACAATTGCCTAGAACTTCAAAGGTTTACATTTGCGAGCGAGCCCAATGTATGAGCTTAACTGTTAAGGGGTTGTAATGAATAGAAGTAATATTTAATGATAATAATAAGTAATAAAATAATTGTTATAGTAAGTAGAATACGTTAAATAAACTTTAAAATATAAGGAATAATTCATTGAGTGGTAAGAAAATAAATAAAATTATGATTTGTACAGTTCAGTGGATGTAAGAAAGCATTTTCGCGGTTGGAGAACCTGAAGATCCACCAAAGGTCTCATACAGGAGAAAGACCCTACGCGTGTCAGCATCGCGGCTGCTCAAAAGCGTTCAGCAACAGCAGCGACCGCGCAAAACACCAAAGAACTCATTACGATACGGTACGTTCTCCGTTGTTCTTTTTTATTTTTACGTCTGAAGATTACTTAATTAAAATCAAGATTGTTTAACTGGACAATTGCTATTCTTTGTAAATCGCTTGTCAGACACGTTTGTGGTCATCGCTCGGCAAAGATGAAGAAAAAGAAGAAAAAGCTTATACACGAATTTATTTCGCTTTTTATTGCGTTATTCGTTGTAAAATTCTTATCTCGCTTTCATTATTTTCGCGAGTCTGGCACGAACAGTGCGTGACCGACAATAAATATTTATAATCCCAACGATATCCGAAATGTGCAGCGAGCACAGTACAACCTCACTATCCGAGAACCATTATGAAAAATACAATTTCACTTTATACAGTGAAGTTAACTTAATACAAATAATACAACTATCTAACGTGAATCTTTAGGTGCAATTGTACTATATAAAACTTTTCATATAAGAAAAATATAAGAAGTTTCAAATTCATATAAAAACTTACTATTTAAAACTATATAAAACTATTTCTTAATGTTAATTATTATTAAAAGCTAATTTGCGCAACTAGAAAATCTCAGTAAACAATTTCCTTCCCTATTTATCTTACACCTCGATTCATCGAAAGTGTTGAGAAAATATTTCCAAACAATTTCCAGAAACCGTACGCTTGCCAAGTGACCGGATGCGGGAAGCGATACACTGACCCGTCGAGCCTCAGGAAGCACGTGAAGAACCACTCGGAGCCGACCACACCGGTCACGAATCTGTCGTCGGCGTCGGAGAATAAAAGTCCCAGCAGCATTCCCAGCAACGTGATCAGCGCGTCGCGACACGATCTGACTTCTACGACTTCGAAACAACAGGCGCAAACGGCCGTCGCTTACGCTACGGAATCGAATTATCGGTCGTATAAGACTTCGGAGTCTTACGCGGACGAGGACGCGGACCTGTTCCAGACGAATCTGTGTCAGGTCGATAGGATTTCCATGAGCCTTGAGAGCAATCAAGAGTACGTCCCCATTGAGTCCATGAAGCGTTATCTCATCGAGGATGTCAGCAACTCGCACGTGGATGGTACAGGTAAGGGAAACGATTCCATAAAGATTGCGTGTCTCATCTGTGTCATCAATGTGTATTTAAACTCTGGCATGGCGTACTATGTGCTCAACTTTCTTATACACTGATAACTATACAATCGGAGTTTGCCTGTATAAACTTTGGAATGATTTTTATCAAAGTTGTTAAAACTTTCTTCCAGTTATATAATAATTGGAAAATCAAGAATCTTGATAATATTATTTTCGCATCGCTGTGTAGCAAATACTCTAGTACCTCCCTAACAAAAATTATGCAAATACATTAAAAACCTGTGAACCGCGCGAGAATCATATTTCCAAAGCAGGCCTTAAGTTAATCACCAAATTCTCGGAGTCAGTTACAAAGTTCCCAAATGTCCATGAAGAATTATCAAATACAATCATTCCATTAATCTCAATTAACGATTATTCGAAAACCATTAAGATAGCCGTCTAGGAACTCCGAAACTTTAAAGTCCCATAGTTTCTCGCAGAAGGTCACAGAGGGGAGAGGTCGCAATGAAAAAAGCGCAAGGCGCAATTTAAGAAAAAAGAAAGAGTCCGGCGAAGTTCTCGCGTTATTGTATCGCGTCCGCGCGTGCTGCCTTTTTCTGACGTTGGTGAACGGCCACGCGGTAACAGCGGCCGATGATAGTTGCGCGCTAGAGCGCGGTTCCTCCATGCTTAATCTCAGAGGAGGTTCGCCGCTTTATGCCTTTACCCCACACCGAGTCTTAAAATAATATTCCTGACTTTTTTGGCCGGGCAGCACACGCACGTACGCACGCGCCAAAACATACGACGCGGCTGCCACGTGCGACACACGCGTGCGCCCCTTTAAATTCCAGCCCTAGCGGCCATGATTTTTACCGGAATAAAAATACGATTAATCGGCCGAGCCCAGCCAGCGAACGATCAACACGCTTTCCTTCCGTTTGCAGGATACTGCGAGGACGACGTGCCCGACTTCCAGGAGCTCGGCTCGGACATCGAACAACAGTTCCTCGAGCTGAGCAGCTTAGACGACGCGGTTTTCATCGACGGTTGAGACGTCCAAGCGAACAAAGACTTCCAATACTTCCAAAGACTCGTTCCCAACCCTTTTTTATATTCGATTTTATATACCATTGTTATACTTGGCGGAATCATATTATATTTTTGTACATAGCCACTTGTATATAATATAAAAGAGAAAATACATTGATTTTGATTACCATCCATTCTTTTACTTTTTTCTGCTTTCCCTTCTTGAGCAGATGTGCCATGAGGGAGGCTTAAAAGGATACGGAAGATTAATTGCTCGAATTTTTTTGGTCTCGCTGCGTTAAAGAATATAACTGAGACCTAGGGGGCCTAATAAATTTGTCGTGGAAGTCACCTTATAAGATTATTAAATGTGGAGTAAAAAAGGAATCGCAAGAAATCTTTTGCGTCCCTTGGTAAAAGTATTCGTTCTTCGTTTATACGAAATTATTTATTCCTGTATTATTAAGTTGAACAGTTCCAGTACACGAAACGTTTGAAGCGTGTAAGGCCTTTTGAACAACAGCTCGCCAGTTTTAGTGGGATTCCCGTACAAATACGAATAGTGGAATAAAATTCAACTGCAACTGTTTTTCGGATGGAAGCTATGAATAGCCAACGATAGTGACCCCTTGAATGAGCAGCAACGGTGACAGTGTAGGCTTTGTATAAAAAGCAGTGACCCACTATACGGAGCTTTCAGTGGCGATGGGGTTAAGCAATCGTTTATTTTCAAGCGGTGCTGCACTCCGACGGCTTCGCTCCCTCTTGTAGATTGTCGCAAATTAGTTTAAGGAAGTTATTGAGCGCCTTATTCTGGTTCTCCTTAGAATACACCTGCGGGCGTATAAATAAAAGACAATTAAAGGATTGTACGATACTTCTGATATAACATAAATCGTAATGAATTTTAAATACTCACTCCGTTGATCACGATTGTCGGCACGAAGGAGATCGGCGGACTCAAAGCAGCCGTCTTCCTGCCATATTCAGCGAGCAACTCGTCGGCTAGAGAACTGGAGATACAACTCTTGATACTGTCCTGCGTTTTCTGGCTTGCCCATAACTTCTCGGCGCACTGAAAATTCGAGATAATCGTCAAGCAAACAATATTTCTTCTCACTGACCCATTTACTATATTTTCATAATTTTATTATATTTCATTGAATGCAATAAATCGCCTTTAGAAAATCAAACTAAAGTTCAAGAAAGTAATCTCATTAACCCTCTACTTAAGGATGAACTATCTTTATTTAATTTTAATTATTAAGTAGAGATTTAAGACTTAATTTTAATTATTAAGTACAGATGGAAGTAGAAGAAAATTATTTTCCACAAATCTTATGAATCCAGTCGTCGAGTGCTAACGATAAACGACGACCTCGTTCGCTATCTTCTTTCTTCTAGGCAAACGAAAGCCAGAGAAGGATAAATATTTAAATGCAACACTTGTCTGCTGAATAGACAGAGGTTTAGCCGTCTGTTCGCAGGATCCTTCGTGCTCGACCGTCTCTTTAACAAGAGATTGCGCAAGGAAATGACACGGTGGGATCGGCAATTTGCGGAGTCGCGCGGTTTTCAAGGGAAATTAATCGAATAGTTACCGTCTCCACCTCCGACGGCGGGAACCTGGTTGACATTGCGCAAACTACGACTCTTTCCGTGAGTTCTTGAACCTTGTCGGCAGGCTCCTCTTTTTGAATCGCGTGGATGGCGCAGGCTTGAGCCTTGTTACCGTTGCATTCGTCAGGCCCATGTTGACAGGCAAATGACCATCGGCCGGTCGCTTCATCGGCTGTTTGCTGTAAATTCTCGATCGGTTACTGTTTACTCCTTTCCTTACGATTTATTTTGGGACTAGACTCGTTAAAATTGTTTGATCGTTAACACATTCGCTGTTAATCACGAATACACTGGTAAATCAATAAAGTATTTAAAATTCCCAACACGAGTATCGTCGTTGGATCTTAACACTAAAACTACCAGAGAGGTCAAAATGACCCATTCCTGATTGCTTCTTTAATAATTATTAAAAACACAACAGATAATTCTCTGAGAAGTTAATACAGAAATTGATTGAGCAATAGGCAAACTGAATTGTAAATCAATAGAAATCTCAATAGTAGCACTGTTGGAGTTTCCATAGAAAAATTGCAAAAAGTCAGTTTGACTGTTCGGTAGTTCTAGTATTAAATAGAGTTTAATGAAAGGCGAAATGAACTGGATACAAATATAATTATATCATTTACGTTGGCAGATAATGATTGTGCTAGGTGATTTTTCAATAGGAAACAGAGTTATATTTGCAAACGCGGAATAGTTTCGGAATAGAGAAAATATTTTCTTTGAATCGATATTGTAAGGACAAAAGGTTAATGATTTCGCAAGAACCATTGATTATTACGAATTATGAATTACGAATTATGAAACGGATCTTTGATGTATGCTTATATAATACAATGTCAGAGATATTTATTGCTTATCATCGAATTGTATATGTTACGTATTTATAACACGAAATTGAATTCGATAAACTTTTATCAATCCGTCTGAGCACAAGATTTGATAAAGATTCCCATAGTTCTATTTCTTCTGATACATATAGTATATAATGCTAATTATACACTTATTACGAAATTTATATTTTTATTATTAATATGTATATTCATTGTTAACAATATTCACAATATATGATACACAGTGCATTACACTTTTATATACAAACAATATTGTTCACGTGGAACTTTAAAATCTTGTTGAAAATCAATTGTAACTCTGTAATTGGACATAAAGGCTTACCGATGCTTTCCCGTATGGGATAAAATTGAGGCGAATGTAATCCTTCAGGATTTGGTACGACTCGGCTAATTGTACTCTCAGCCATCGCTTGCTATCGGAACACAGTGACTCATAGTAGACATCCACATCGATCAGGTTGTTCGACAGTTCATCGCCTGCCACCTGCATAAATACGAGGGGGACGTTTTAAACACTCTTGCCTCTCTTCAGAATAACTCGTTATTCAACTCTTGTTGACTTATAATCATATACTTTGTCCATGCACACACTTGAATAAGTTTTAAAAATGTTTAATCAGTGATGCATTGATTTATTTTCAATTAAACTTCTCCTGATATCATCTGTGTAAATACTTTATGTAACTTTCGATCGATAAGCATCGAGAACTCCGAGCACCTTACTCTTCGAATCAATTAAGATCTTAACTGTGTAAGCAGCATGTTTTTAAATAATTGCGTTAATAACTCTCTAGAGCACAGGACGAAAAGGGAGATTGTATCGATGTAAAATGTCAAGGACTGATTTTCAGTGCTAGAAAAATGTAAGAAAAAATGACTTCTGAAGGAAAAATGATTATTGCTTAACAGTGGTTCAAGGATATTTCCGTGTTATGAATCTTGCTGAACCTGATTGTGCCTTTTAAAGGCAGTATAATATTTAGCGGAGTGTCCAAGGGCACTTCAATTATGCCAGACGAAATTACTGACTTTCCTCCGCGAGACAAAAGAAATTTTAAAACTGTCGCCAAAAATGGAGTTGAAAGATGAAGTAGAAAACGGAATGGATGAAAAGAGTCTCGCTATTGACCTCGCTCCGACTATAATTTAACATTGACGAATGTTACTTTCTTTTTAGATTTTCAGTTACATAAAGTATTACGAACTTTTATTTACACAGTTGTACTTTGCCTCGTAATTCTAATATCTGAGAGAATAAAGCAAGAGAATGACTGATTAATAATACTACATAGTAATGATACTATGTAGTTCTATTATCTGAAAGAATAAAGCAAGAGAATAACTGATTAATAATACTACATAGTAATAATACTATCATCAATAGGTTACGCATGAATGCTACTCAATGGTACCTTATTTATTTAGGTATTTGAATGATCAATTAAAATTATTTTTTATTGCCTTATATTTTATTCGTAAAGTTACATTGCTTTAAAGTTAAAAAATAATAAAAGGAATAAAATTATAGAAGAGCAAGAAGAAAAGATATAACAACTTATCTATTCTTGTAAAAATTGTAACTTTTCATAACTGAATAAATATCAAAGTTTCCATAATATCAAGAGATAAAAACTGCACTTATCATGTTTTAACATCAATACATACCGGAAACAAGTTCTAAATAAATTTAGACCAACAGTTCCGGGAAACATGCTGATGATAGGCGGATAAATAAAAATTGGTGAAATCAGTAATTTTGCTGTAAAAAGGACGGAAACTGTGGAAATTTTTCATTGATAACATCTTATCTTCAAACCGATTAGTCAATGATATTAAAAATCACTTAGAAAGTAATTATCTCAAGTTAATCAGTGTTTAATTGTTTAACTGTATTTTCACGTGGTTTTGTAATTTGAAAGTGCATTTCTGTATAGAATTTCTATAAATACTTGTGTCGTGCTAATAATAATCAATTGATCATTTCAAAAACGAGAAAACTGGCGTGCGCCTTCTCATAAAGGAAACTGGTTTAAATCTTGCGCGTCGCCTCTGATTAAATGCTGGAAAAACCGGATCTCCCTTCTTTTTAATACGAAGCACCTTTGTAGTCGTACATCAAACACTAATACCTTAAAACATCGAGACGCAATTACATAAATATACCTAAATGAGATATGAATATCTTAATTACCGTTTTCTATAAAAACTATCATAAAAAGGTTAAAGCAATTAACATGACACTTAACGTGTCCCATTTGTTCAACTACCTTCCATAGATAGAAGAAAGATTGCAACTCAAAGTTATCATCCGTTTGTCCTCGAACTCGATTTAAAATACTACGGTACAAAGAATCTGTGGCAAATGACAAAACGGTCCAAAATAAGCGCTTCGAAAATTATTGGAAAATACGGTTTACGAATCGCACAGAGATTTCTCAAAGAAAAACAATTCAAGACCTACTCACCGATGTACCGAGGTCGCTGATGAAGATGACAAAGGCTATAGCCGCAAACGCGCAGCTGGACGTGAACAGGTAGCACCGCATGATCAGTTTGGTTGGATGATGAAGGGAACACTGCTTTAAATCGGCTTTGCTATGGCATCGCCGGCCGACGCCGAGGAGGGGGCTTTTGAAAATGTAGAAGGGGGCACGGAACGGGAAAGACAGATAAAGGCGGGGGAGAGAGTAAAAGGCGAGTAGAATTTGAACGTCTTCGTTCAAGAATGTTGTTGCACTGTTGTTCCTCTCGAGCAAGTCACGTTCGTCGCTGCTTAATTCAGTAAATCAATGCACATGTCTTCTCAACACGTTCCGTGCCACGGAAATTTCGGTTATATTTTGCTTATGAACTCTATTGATTTTTTAAAATAAAATATTAACTTATATTCAAGTTTTTGGTAACATTTATATATTTTGATGTTGTTCCTTTATGTTTAAAACGACCCATTCGTGAATTATACTTTTACAATTATTGAAAAGATAGAAAATGCTTCTTTGCGAAATTACTGAAGAAATTGACTTAGTAACGGAAATCAAAGCAAAAGTCAATTGAAATTTCGATAGCTGTAGTCTTAGAGTCCCTATAGAAAAATTTGAAAATTTCAATTTAAGTCGGTAGTTCTAGTGTTAAAAATATTTTCTTACAGAAACTGGCGTGTACCGTGTATAGTACACGTGGCACTGAACGCGTTAACAAAAATTTAAACGGTATAACTTCTCTATCAGACAATCTTTTCAGCGACTATTCCTGTTCCGAAGCGTTACAAAGCCCTTTGAGAATATGAAATCAACGTACAAGTCAGTTTTCGAAAACTGGTCAGTCTGGTCTAAAGCGAAGAGTATCCTTGACTGCGTTCAATGCTCTTGCTGTTTAATAAAAGATCTTTGATCCTCCTTTTTGTTCGATTTTAAAATGTATGTATATTTATTATGGTGTCATTGGTAGAATTTATCGCGTTGACTGCCACGAGAATTTCGAGCATTTTGTGTAGTAATACTTATTCTTCCATAACAAAGACAAATGGTATTAGAACTAATTATTAATGATTTGGTATCAGTGTATTCGTATTACACTATTATCTAGCTGCTTATGTTACTAAATATTTTTATTCGACATCGATTTTCTTATTGTAGTTGTTTTCAAGTAATTTGTAAGCTCCGGTCATCGATGACCACCTGTCCGGTGTTAACGGAAATCTTGATTATCATTTTAAATAAAAAACTAAGGAGAAAACATGAAATGCAGGAAACTATGCAAGTATTCATTGAACCGACTGGGGATAGTGATACGTAATTAACGCATTTCTCTAGCCGCGATGGGAGCGTGCGGATTGTTGTAATGTTACCAGCAAGGCAGTTTTAAGTAACCTAACGATGTAAGTGAGGAACACGAAAGGTTTCTACACGACTTTCTCGCTGAGAGTGAATGTGCTGTACTCGCCAGCTGTTTAGCGTCGGGGAATCAGTGACGCGCGACCGCTTACAGCATAATTGGGGGCATCATTAACCTAATCATTCGTTTCCAACATTTTTACAACCGACTCGTACAATACTGTAGAATCGTATCTTTGGGGCAAATATTTTATACGTACATTAATAGTTCTGACATATATTTGTAAAAAGCCTAATTTAAAAATTACGCGATAACTTCACTTTCGCTAGAAGAAAACTCGTGAATACGCGCTGCTCTAATGATCCTTGTCACTTAATTGTTAGCGGGAATGATCATTATGACGTTACGTAAAAATGAATATTTCAGTTGTTCACTATTGAGTATTACAGAATATACAGTGAATGTTTTAAATTCACCTTTTAGCTTACACGGGCGTTACACGAAATATAAATATAACATTTAGTTAATGAATAATTTAACTTCCTGTTAAATTTAATATCTTCAGCTTAAAAAAGATAAAGGTATGAATATGTAAGAGAAACTAGTGAACATTGATGAAATTATTAACTGAATATCTACAACAATATTTATTCATAATGTACAACTAATTTTAACAATAAATAATTATGGCTCAATGCCTGCATGGAATTTTAATTGTTTTGTCTGTTTCTCCAATTCATAGAATAAGTCAGCAGCTCGTTGACTATAGGTATTAGACTTTTCTATATCTTGTTTCACACCATGACCATTCTTATACATTAAAGATAAATTTGCACAAGCGTAGGGATTTCCGTTGTCACAACAATTTACAAACAATCTATATGATTCTTTTAAATTCTTTTTAACATAGCCCTCTATTCCTATTAAATAAATGCCTGATAAATGAAAGCATGCATCGGGCTGATTAGAGTCACAAGCTTTTTGAAGCATTTTCATTCCATTTGCAACTTGAGTGGCTCTGTCTTCTTCAACTTTTTCAGGACTTACTCCAACAACACCTGCGTGATAACAACCCCGTGCATCATTGAGTTCACACCCCTTCTTCATATATTTGTAACCATCTGCAATGTTTTTATCGCATCCTCTACCTGTATATACATAAAATTATTTTTATATTGCTATAACGTTATAATTTAACCAACTATAGGTTTATCTTACTTACCGACCACCCTGAAACTTCCATATTTTGCACAACTCCTAGAATAATTTCTTTCGTCACAATTGTTCTTATATATGTCGGCAGCCTTTTTCAAATCCTCAGTAATACTTTCTTCATAGTCCCCTAGTAAATGACAAGCTGTAAACAGATATTAAAGTATTGAATTAAAAGGTTAGAATTGTTAGCGGTGATGCACTAACCTTCAGGATTTTTCTCACTATAGCAACCAAATTTATATTCAATGTGAAGATTCTTTAAATATTCCTTCACTTCGTCAGCATCTTTTAAATTGTACCCGGCCATAACAAGATATTTTTATTAAAAAAAGATGTAAACGTTTCAAACGAAAATGCTCTGATGATCAATATATTTTATTAGCCCACTTTATTACCGACAATCACCAACGGAAATAAAAGATCTTTCTTGTATTTTGATATTCAATGGCTAATTCGGTAGTATTTACATACTTACTTTACTATGCTTGATATGTAACAAATCTTACAATTAATTAAATTTCTTATCGAGCCTTTACTTATTACCTAAATAAAGCACGAATGAAGACCAAATTATGTAAAAAGTTTTTGTGAAATAATTATCAGGGTTTTGAAGAAAAATATATATTTGCGAATAAAGATTTTTTTCTTGCCGCTGCTACTGTGCAGTGCAAATAATAAAATAGATAAGTGTTTTACGTAAGACGAGTAACGTCAAATTGCATAAGGTACATGTAAAATGCATATGTAGTCGATAAGATACATATTGCAAAATATTCAACATAAATATTATATTTATTATTTTATCTAATAAAAATATTTCTATAATAATAATAGAGGACGGATAGAATAAACGTGTATCGAAGGATTTAGTTAATTTACAGACTCTGTCGCATCTCGAGCCTGGCGCTGTGAACCGGCCATAGAATATCACAACATAAGAAAGTCACCTTCATTTCCGTTGATGGCTTTTAATAGTTGGAAAGAGTAGCAAAAGTATTTTGATCGGCGGTGTACAATATTTGATAGCGCAAAGCACATGCTTTCGATTCTAAGCAACCAATCGAACATCAGACGATTGTGCGCGAGCGCACTCCTGTGATTTTTCGAATAAGCGCAAGTCAACGAAGGTGTCAGTAATTCACAACATCGAAAGTTGCGTGTCAGTTCAGGTGTGCTCGTCACACGGTGCACTGCATGTTTTCAATTATTTTATCGAGACACATGAGAACGTGTACCCTTGTGGTTCTAGAACAACTCATATGTCGAGAAAGAAACTACGTGCTCCGTTGAAGTAAGTGGTGAAGAGAGTAGATTACAGTTCGCGTCACGTGTGAAACCGCTTTTTGTATTTTCACGTTTTATGTTATTTTCATTGGAATCGCGTAGTTTTATGTTATGGTCACTTTGTAGACGACTATACTTAATTACCACATTTCTCAATGTTTTGAACACCATTCGTTTTAATTTGACCGACCCATTTCAAGATAACGATCCCGAACGATCACTTTTTAAACTGTTTAAAGTTCATTCGATTTACAGCGCCGCAGAAAAATACATTATACAAATGATTAAGCTGCGCACATTTTGTATACATTTCATGTAATAACATTCTATTTACATAAAAAAATGAACTTTTGTATAAACTGAAACTGGAATAATATTCTTTAAACCTTTATCGTACTGATTGGATAATAGTCAACACTTTTTGGTGGGAAGTGATTAGTATTGTATGTAAACACGTTTCAGATAATTTATATAAAAAGTATTGAAGAATAACACTTTTCTCCAAATTTGCGAAGCAAAAGTAAATACGTGTCAAGACATTTAACATTATTCCTACTGAAGGTGTCAAAAGACACCTTTTGAAGTTTTAATTTAAAATTATTTTCTCAGTTTAATAATTTGTGCTAAATTAAATTTTGGACATTTCCTGTAGTTAATTTTATAATCGTTATTGGACAAGTCGAAAAGTCAATTCAGAATATACGACTAAATTCGGAAAATAATTTTAAGATAACGTTTCAGAAGGTGCCATTTGTCACCTTCGGTAGAAATAGTGTTAATGTTTTCGACAGTTTTGTAAGAAATAATGTGCATAACGATGAATGTGAATGTGATGTGTTGATGAAGAACGTTCGTTAAACGATTTTACAAGATTCGCGTGAAACTGTCAGTACTACGATTCAACTGATTGCTATAGGCGCAACTATAGGTAACCCGAGTGTACCTTTTATTAGGCCAACCTTCAGGGTTTACTCGGTTAGAGGGTCGCCTTCTTATCTACCCTCCGTAATCGGAATTCGTCTATATATCAAGTGGAAGCACGATGTATAGCACGCGGAATGAATGTAACATGCATTCATACTTAAGAACTTCATTCTTAGCATACCATTACATGATTGTGTACAAATTGTTATTTTCTTAACTGCTGCGTAATGTAATTTGCCACGTGTATAATACATTCACAACGCCAATATGATTACTGTTTTCCCATTAACTATCTGCACTTGACCTGTTCTAGCACAACATTAATTTTTTATTACTATTACTGTATAAGCACTGTGAAATTTCTTATATATTATGTTATCTGGAATAATATCAAACGTATATATATACAATTAGTAAATTGAAAAAAATATATTCTTATAATGGGGTAATAAATCTATGCATGTTGATTTTATTTTTTTTACTAATTATGTGTTGCTAATTGTATGTCGTAATTTTATTTTAAACTATATTTATATGTATTTATGTGTAATATTTATAATATTTCTATTGCGTAGATTTGTATATGTTTGAAACGTTGTACTTATAAAAATTCCCTACATTTTTTATATCTCTGTCTTTATTTATATTCTAAAATGTATGTTCCAATACTTCCAAGGATATGAATATTATTATTAGCCTTATAGCTCATTTATTATTCAAAGTACATGCACTATGTTTATTTATTTACATCTTCCACTCTTGAATTTTACATTTACTTTATTATTATTCATTCTATTCGTAACATATATGCACGATACTAGCAAATGATAGTATTTGACAGGAAAGCATAACAATAAATTAAATACAGTTTACATTTTCTGTGGAATATTTAAATTGTTACTCTTTGCTTGTATTATGACAATGTTATACAATGACAATCTTAACTATACTTCTTACCTAAGATAGTCGTGTATTCTACTATCAAATTATAAAATATGACAAATTTATTTAAAATATCAAAATACAGTGTTAGCTTGAGTGTAATACTTCTTCAGTGAAACGTTCTCCGAAACATTAACCTTATATGGGCCCGTGTGACATATTGGTATCTTGTTGATTTATTTTATTTTGCATAGCAAAATGGCGAGTGGAATGAAGCAATTAATTAACTTGAACTTTTATACGCTTAGTCGAGAAAGTTCAACGTCATTGTAATTTCAAAATTACTTTGTATTTAATTAAATTTAATTAATTTGTATTTACAAATTGATATATCTTAATTTTATACTACGCACATTCTTTTTATAGTCACGAACAAAAATTCGACCTATAGAGGGTCAATGTACTTTGTAATTAATTTCTCCCCATCTCATGCACACCAGCATCACATTTCCTATCCTATAGAATTTATCCTATAGAATTCCATAGACCTGCAACGCGATTCAATGTAAACACGTGGTTGAACGCGATTGTAGACGTCATAATTCGGGGTGATTCAAAGCGTAACCGGGTTCAAGGGCAACCCATACATCCCGGCACCACACGAACGGAATGCTTAACAGGCAAAAAAAGGAGGTGCTCTTGAAAAGTGCGGGTACTCAATGGCGTCAACGACAAGGGCGTTCAAAATTGAATAAATTGGTCGCCGGAAATTAAGGATGACCTTTGACATATCGATTATCAGGAGAATGACAACAATAATGTTTATTAGTCTACAACGAGCACACAAACTTTTAATATAGGTACAATTCCTAACCAAAAAAAGGTCAAGGATTACAACCAACAAATAGTTTATATTAGCAAACAATTATTTTATTCTATTTTATTTTTTTATTGTTTATAGTTTACTGTATTTGTATTTTCTCTGTATTATTTAATATATAGTAATACTATAATTATATTTTTATTTACTTTAATTATCAATATTGATACTAATATTTATATATTTTTAAACATCAATTGGACCAAAAGTTGTAACTTACGCAAAAGAGTAAGGAACTTGATTTTTTAATTTTACTTTGGATTTGTGTTATACATATCTAAAATGTTACATTAATGTAGGAGTAGCGATTAAATGGTAGACTAAAAATCCCGCATTGTAGCGGGGCCGGCGCGCAATGTGTTAAAAAAATTCAGTTTAGACTTATAATCTACCTGAAAGAGGTATGTAAATTTAGTAAAATATTTAAGAAAATAATTGAAACATTGCATCTTATATCAAATTCACTGTGAATTTCAAAATTTTTTACCGAAGAATCGAGACTCAAGGCGAACATGGTATTTATGAATAAATACTTCTCTTCCGTGAATTCATAAATGGTAGAAATGATTTACTCTGTCTAGCTGAGAAAAGAAACAAGATAGCATCGAAGATGTCAGAAGTAAAAACAAGCTAGAAGGCTTTATTTAATCGTAATATTTCGCATTCCGAAACTAAAGTTTCTATTTTGCAGAAAACTGATTACAAGATGTGATAATAGCACGCGTTCGTGGTAAAAGTGTTGCTTTAAGTTGTCGTGACCCATAGCTTCGCGCAGCCGTGAAATTAGGGGCATTTCAGATCTTATCGACAATGTCTGTCGAATACACCCTAATCATTGTGCATTCGTCCAAGGTCAATCTGTGTCGGAATAAAACAACGATTTTCAATCATTTTTCTTTGGCAAATTATACAAAACAATTTATATACTATTATATATGATCATTTATCTACTAATTACATTCGAAGATTTGCGTCACTGCAACATAAATTTATGTTTGAATCAATGCTCACATTATTCACTATTTACAGATTATATAATTTTATCAAAGATTTAGTAATGCCTCAACTGCCTGCTATAATTCGATTAAAACTGGCATCACCGAACATGATTTTATAACATCAAACCTTGTCAAGGTACCTTTAGAATCCCAATGAACCATTCAATATAAGTGATTTCAACACTAGAACTACCAGATGGGTTAACATTCCTGAATTCTCCTCCTACAATTATTGAGAAGATGACAGACGTATTCGAATTGAATGATAAACCAATAAAAATCTGAATAGATGCACTATGATGTTTCTACAGAAAAATAAAAAGAAATCAATTTGCTCGGTAGTTCCAGTGTTGAACATCTGAAAGGTATATACACGAACGGTACGTTTCAATTCCTAACCCCGTTCGACCTATGCACAAATCCTCTCCACCAGGATTCCAGTTTCCAAGGTCACCGCATATGTGGCTCGCGTTCTAAAACGAAACGCGTATATACGGGTGCATAACCATCCTTTCTTTCTTTCTTCCCTTTATTTTTATTTTCAGATGAGCGAGTCCGTGAAAGTGGCCGTGAGATGCCGGCCAATGAACACGCGGGAGCTGCAGCAGGGATGCAGGGTACGTCAGCCGAGAGAAAGACGGGGAACAGGATCCACGTTCGGCCCCTTGCTTCGTTAGTACCACGCTCGCACCTCGGCCGTCGATAGTGCACCGAATGCACGCATATACCATCGCTTCTTTTCCACGTTTCGCTTATCTGCCCAAGTTCCACGGGAAAAACCTGGTCATCGTCATATCGAGCGCGTTGTAGCCTAGCGACCGTGACAAAACACGGAACGGAACTATTGCGAGTCGTGCGAGTAGTTTTTCACGAGGGCACGGTACCCGAACAGTCGCTTCCCTTTTTATCGAATCCCCATCGCCAGCCTCGGCCGACCTCAGAGATCCTCAGTCTCAAATTTCTACGGAGAGGGCCACGCTAGAGGTGTGAATGACACTTCTGCGGTCGCAACGCAAAAAGAACATTTTGTAGGCTAGGTGTGGACGGGCCATTGAGAAATAAGGGGGCGGTCTGTCGAGAGATTAGACCCGCGGTTCCTCACGTGGGACAGGGGGGCAATTCGAGAATGAGATGTTGACCCTCTGCATTTGAAAGTTTTTCACTAGAAATATGCAACACTTTCTGACAGACGATGTTTTTTGAAACTAATTCATGAGAAGACATACATGAATTAAGGAGGAAAGTTATTTTATTTCAATACTCCACGTGTTGATGCACTATACAAAGCTTAATATTATATATAAAAATTTATAATTTTTCTGTATTAGATCAAGTGACTGAGAGTCACCTTTAAAGTATAAACGGTTAACCCCTTTCCAGACGAGAATTTTTGAAACTTCTGAAAACTTTTTCGATAGAAAATTGAATTTATCGGGGTATTAAATATTCACAAAGGAAGAAGCCATGCACCAATCTATCCTCATTTGAATAAGTTGATTATTTTGTAATTTCGATTGGGAACCACTGGATTAGATGAATCTTTTATTAGGCTGCGTTTGTACCTTTTATATCTCTTTCTGTTACCATGACCTGTTACTAAAGTAGATCGTTGTACATAAATATCTACAGATTTTTATCGACATTCATTATTTTGCAAATGGGCATTTTCTTCTATTAAATGTATGTCATCTTCTGAAACAATCTTGTCTAAATTTATCTACCACACATGACTTATATAGTCGTCTAAATAACAGGTCGTGGTAATAAGTCTGGACGCGGTCTTATGTTGTTCGGTTGTGAACTCCTTTCGTGTTTGATGAACAGGGAAATGTTCATCTGTATGTGAAAAAAATGTTGTTTTCATCTTTGTTATTCTTGTTATTATTTTACCATTGATTCACTTGTTAAAAGACGGTATGGAAATAAATTGTTCACGATTGTATGTATATATTTTATTTTAAATGTTTATTTAACTTCTGATTCACCGATACAAAAGTAGTTTTGTTCATGGAAGATGTGATACGATTAATAACTGGAATTTTTCTAATTAATTATAATTAATATACAGATGAGAAATGAAATTACATTATTAAAATCTGTTTGGTATAAATTCTAAGCTGCATTGAAAATGTTTGTAATTAGGGAGGGAAAGGAATTACTGTTTTTCTTTAGTTGACATTAGAAAACTTGACTATAGATGCTACGTTTCAATGTAGTATTCAAGCAACGTGTATTCAATGTCATCGATTGTGTCTCACTGCTATCTACTTTGAATCTATCATAATTGAACGGCGACGCATATTTTTTGTTTTCGAAATCGTTCCAAGCCACAATGTAGAGATGGCGACCGAGTTACTAAACAGAAAGGTCATGTCAAATATAACTAGAGTTCCGATTATCAAGTGTTCTTATTATAACAAGTTATCGGGACAAAAACAGAGCTACACTTGCTACATGGATGCACCCGTTCTATACTCCAATGCATCAGCACGCTTCTATCGGACGTCTATCAACATTTCCCCTGACTATCACGGAACTAGCCGTCGGTCGTTAGATTTACCATTTCATAATATATTCAATGAACTACAAGTGGTCACGCTAGCCGGCGAATCGGTGATCTGTGAATACACAGTGCATAGATGCCAACATTCAGCCAACCGGCAGTAGGGCAAATTTTTAAAAACTTGGTCAAACTTTGTTTTATCTTATTTTATTTGATTATTTCGAATATTGACACGTTGACTCCCATAACATCAGCGTTCTACGTACCACTTACACCTTCGTAACAAAGATAAACATCGACGTCAGTTGTCTTATGAATTATAATTGTTTTCAGATTATTTCGAAGCTCCGGTCGTTAGTGACCACCGTGGTAGTCAACGTGTTAACGTGACAAAAAAATAAAGAAAAATTATATAATACGCCTATTTCGAGGTCACTAGAAGTTTCAATAGAATAACATTTGTTCCTTGCATTTTACGATCAGTTTGAATTGCATTTTAGATATTTGAATTAGAGATTTAATTTGTGACATTACTGGACACCGAACTAAAGATGCTATGAGTTATACACATGATCACGAATTAGTTCTCCGACCTTCTCCTTTGAAACTTCTGTGAAGAGGGTCGTCACAGGGTGTGACAAATAACTTTGCGGTCACCGAAAAAAATTGTGTGAGTTCGTTATATCTGTCTATAACGGAAACCGAATTTGAGCTGAGACATTTCTCACGGCCCTGGGTCGCGATCTGAAACCTTCAAGTTTCGAATTTCCGCGAAGAAGATCCTGGTTAAGCGCGAAAAAGGTTTTTGCGGTTACAAAAAGAATTCCGCGAGTTAGCTGTATCTCGTCTAGGAACTATATTATATTAAAATGCGATATATTACTATAGATAAATAGTTTTACTTGTAAATTATTAGATTCGTATAGAGAAACCAGTGATATTCGAATTTATTTCGTAATGATCAAGGTTATTAACCCTTTGCCTTCTAACAACGTGTCGGACTCGCGGTGAAGATTTTCAACGTGATTTAACAAACATAAATATTACTCGGTTCATTTGAATTCAAAGTAAATATTATTCTTCTATAATAAACTATTATATTTAAAAGCAAACACAGACATAAAATATGCCTAGAATTTTTCTCTTTTTCTAACAAATTATTCATGACAAAATAGGTGTAACGATCACATTTGAGAAAGAAATCGTAAGACAAGGGGTTATAAACCAATAAAAATTGTGGTTATTAAATAATTCACACTCAATTCACATTTCCGGTTAAGCAATATTCAAGTTAAAAATAAGCTAATCGTGCGTGGTTAAAATTCTACTGGTGAATTCTTCTTTGCAACTGTATACGCAGTTGCAGATTTAAATGCATTGACATCACGAGATCCACTGATGAGAATCACTGCTGAATGGTCTACATCGAGCTCAATTGATTCGTGCCGTTTGGTCCATAGTACGACGAACTACGAGCGGCAACAATTATTTACCCTGTTTGTCCATCCACGTGCGTATCGATAGAACAAGAATATATGCCAAATCGATAGGGGCAGTTCGTTTCACCTTTGCTACCTATGTGCATGACGACTATTCCACGTATGTACAACACGTGTCTGTGTGTGCACCAACACGAGTGTCAATGTGCGAGTCATGCAGTTAAGTACGTAATCGAACCAATTTCGTTCTTGGAATGTATGCACTGCTTGACAACTGGTATTCAGATTATTACGCCACTTCCGGTTATGCTTGAGACCTGTGGTCGCCTTTTATTCTCTTTTTATTTTTACCGCACGAATTTCAAAATTAACGATTAACTTGTCAGATAAAAAGAAAGAAAAGAATTTTAATTGAAGAATAATCGAACATTATTATTTCAGAAGCTAGATAATAGAGTAATACGAGTACTGTAATACAAAAACATTAATAATTATTTCCAATATCATTTTCCTCTATCACAAAGGAATAAATCTTACTATAACAAAACGCTCGAAATTCTCGTGGCAGTCAACGTGTTAAAGATTAGAAGCTTACTTCGGTAATGATTTAAAAAGGCCAACATTGCGAATGAAGTTCGTGCGCCATCTTTCTTTCGAATAAGGCGTCGGCCATTTTTGGTTCACCCGAAGACAAGCTGCGATCGATTCGATTTCTTATGGATTGGACTTAAACGTGTTGAACCGCGGTGTCCGAGTGAATCAATTTTTGCAATAAAAGAAAAACAGAACTTGTAACGACGGTTCCACGAGTTCCTTTAGTATTTCCATGAACCCGAATCGATAACCAGGTACGAGCTATCGGCGAGTTGATGGTGTCGCGGCTAATGAGTAATGGACACGTCTCGCCTAATGCGCCCACGTTGTTGCAATGTCGCGCAAGCTGACCAGAGGACAATCGATCGAGACGAGTTTCGTAAATACATAGGAATTAGTCATCTGGCTGGCTGGTCATATTTTCGCTGGCCGTGTGAATTATTTTACTCGGTCACCATGATTCACACGCGACCGTAACACGCATACGTCACTCGCATGCGTCAAAGCCATAAAAAACGGAAAATGTTGAGGAACGCGCGACATTTTCGAGATAAGATTATAGATTAGCGAGCATATTTCAGTATTGAAACGGTTCTGGAAAGAAATACAGAGTGGCTTGTTAAATATGTAGTTTTCCCAGCGTCGAATATCGCACGAGTTCCTCCTACGCTTAGTGTGATTATGCTGGTAAATTATACAACGACGTGAGTCAATAAAACTGTAATTTACACCTTAATGAAGTCTGAAAGACAAATGACTCTTCTTTTCGAAAGGATATACTACGCAACTCTAAAAAAGTACATTACCCCCGCATGGGAAAAATAAAATGCTGTGACCAACACCAGAACTACCGAACGGGTCAAAATGACCCATTCCAGATTTCTTCATTTCGCGATTATTAATAAAATAGCAGATGCTTCTCCGGGAGTTATTAAAGAAATTGATTTGGCAATATGCAAATTGAATCGTGAATCAATTAACACTAGGTTTACTAAACGCGCCAATTCGACGCATATTGAATTTTATAAACATTATTTAGTCAATGTTTCCGTCGATTTTTATTAATACAATAACACAAAAGTGTATTTTGTCTATCTTTAATTTTTCAATTTCCAAAATCTAAATGAATGAATATCAATTTTTCTAAAATTAATACAATAAATCGTACAATAAACCTCCATAAGCTTGTTAAAATCTGAATAGATGCACTCTTGAAGTTTCCATGGAGAAGTTTCAAAAAGTCAATTTCAGTGCTCGGTAGTTCTAGTGTTAATTAGAGGAGCCGTTCAAACAAGCTGTAATACCCTTAACTTCATCGTTATCAATAATACATGTTACAAACTCTCCCCACTCTCCCTAGATGAACCTCAATAAACAAAAACCCACGAAGCCACGTTTCAGTTCTCCATATAATACGAATCTCAATGAACTGATACGACACCGTTATCTAACGATCGTTTCGAATTTTCGTAGAACGTGGTAACCACCGACCCCGTCACAAAATGCTGCACCCTGGAGTGTCCGAGCGATGGAACCGGCAAAGTGTACCAGTTCGACGCGGCGTTCGGCCCAGAAGCAAGCACCGAGTCATTGTACGAGAACGTTGGCTCGGTGATCGTGGAAGCAGTCCTGGACGGTTACAACGGTACGGTGTTCGCTTACGGGCAAACCGGCTGCGGGAAGTCGCACACGATGCGCGGCTTCATCGAGCGCACCCTGGACCACATCTTCGAGGCCACGTCGACCGCTAGCTCGGACATGAGGTACCTGGCACTGCTTAGCTACCTGGAGATCTACAACGAAAAGTTACGGGATTTGTTGCAAGACGGGAACAGCGATCTCCTAACGCTGAAGGAAGATCCGAGCCGCGGCACATACGTGGCCGGTGGCCTGCGAGAGACTACGGTCAAGGACGCGCAGGAATGCGCCCGCTTGGTCGAGCAGGGGGATAGGCGAAGAGCGCTTGCGGCTACTAAGATGAATGCAGCCAGCTCTAGGAGCCACGCGGTGTTGACGCTGTCCCTGGAAACATTGGCCATCAACGATGACAGTAAAACGGAGAACGCGGTAAAAAGAGGTAGGCTGCACTTGGTGGACCTGGCTGGGTCTGAGAGGCAGGCTAGAACTGGAGCCACTGGGGATAGGCTGAAGGAAGCAGCTAGTATCAATTTGAGCCTGTCTGCGCTGGGAAATGTGATTAGTGCTTTGGCTGCTGGCCATGGACGACATGTGCCTTACAGGTATACATTTTGAAAGAGATTAATTGTTTAGGCATGTAGCTGGAAGGCGATCACGAGATTGTGGATGACTTTTAGTTTAAACTAGGGATCAAGCCCTTGGCGTACTATTTACCTGCTAACCTCGTGTAATATCTGACTATCGACAATTTGGGAGAAATGCAACGAAATTTTTCATTCTGCTTCAAGTGGAAATTTCATTTGAAGGTAATACGTTGATAATAGCAGATTAGTTGTTTGCTTTGACCCGTGGATAATGAACAACATTGATTGTTGTCGAGTTAGTCTAGAAATCTTCATCACGAGTCTCACTCGTGATTGTACGCCAAGGGGTTAAACTCACAGTGCGATAGTAACTAGAATTGCAAAATTGTTCTCTTCTCTGAGAACACAGATGCGAGCACTGATTTTTCTGATTTAGATAACAGTCCAGCGAATTAAACGCTCAAAATACGTTTTCAGGGACAGTAAGCTGACAAGGCTTTTAAGAGACAGTCTTGGTGGCAACGCGAGGACGTTGATGATCGCTTGCATAAGTCCCAGCGACGTGGACGCCGAGGAAACCCTGAGCACGTTGCGGTACGCTGCCAGAGCCCGATGCATCAAGAACAAGCCAGTGATCAATGAGGATCCCAAGGATGCTCTGTTGAGGCAGTATCAACTGGAGCTGCAGCGTCTTCGTTCCCTGTTAGAATCGAGCGACGCTAATTCGATACCGAAAGAGATTCCCGTCATCGAGGCGAACGAAGAGGTGGTCGTTGAAGAAGTCGAGCGATTGAAGAAGGAATGCGAGCATTCGAACCTGTCAGCCCAGAGGCTTCGCGAGGAGCTGGAAGCTTTGAAGTCTCGCTTCGAGAGTGGAACGCAAACGATGAACAACGTGCTTTCCAAGGCTGTCTCCGAGGAACCGATGGGCGAGCAGGGCCTGGAACGCGAGGAGAAACGGAAGAAGAAGCAGCAGGCAGCCATGCAGGAAGTCCTGAAGAGGTTGGAGAAGTTGACTATCGGAGGAGAGGAACAAGGGAACACGGAGCTGAGGAGACGCCGTGAGAGGAGGAGGAAGAAACTCGCAGCTCTTGCTTCAGCTTTGGAGTCCAGCGCCCAGGAGGGCAATGGGAGTGTCTTCCAAGTCTACGGTCAGCTTAGGTTAGATGGACAAATGTTTGGGAACTATTAGTTAGTAATAGAAGTTCTTACTTCACTTCGCAGGCTAACTTCTTGACACGTTCGCTACCAGCGTCACATATTTGTGACGAGTGCAATCTTATATTTTACATAAAGCAAATGAAATTAATCCTTTGCACTCGGAAGTATTTCGCTAGAAGTATTTAACATTTTGTAACTAGACAAAGACGATGTTTTTTTAAATGAACTCAAAGAGAAATCACAAGTAAATTGGGGAACAAAGCTTTTTTATCCCAATATTTCACACACCGATGCATTATACACAGTTCAGTATTAAATATCAAATTTTATAATTTTACTGCATCAAATCAAACGGTGACTGAGAGTCATCTCTCGAGTGGAAAGGGTTAATCGTATAGATATGGTTATTTAGAGTTATAAGCTACGGCATTATATTTAGGAACTCAATAACTCGTTCCAGTTTTATTTTCTCGATATTTTGTTTAGAAGATTTATTGGATTGAATAAAATATTACAATTGATGAGATCCTCACCGAAATAAACGCTGGTAACGAACGTGTTAACACGTTGTCCGCCACGGTAGTCACCGACGACCGGAGATTCCAAATTGCTAAAGAACAATTGCAATAAAAAGATTTTTAATAACATAAGTAGCTAGATAATAGTGTAATATAACTACTGCGATACCAAACCATTAATAATTATTTTCAATACCATTTTCCTCTGTTATTAAAGAATAAGTATTACTATACAAAACACTAGAAATTCTCGTGGCAGTCAACGTGTTAAGTTGACTCTGATCGCAAAGTATGAAAATCCTTTCCTCACTTTTATCTTCACTTATCTTCACTTTTTCTATTCATTTAAGAGGCAATTAGTCAAGTACAATTAATTTCAAGATAATCAATTAGCATACCTTCCGTGACAGGTCAACAGAAGATGCCTTAAAGCGAATGGCGAAACGGGCGAAGCAATTGGAAGCGGAGGCAGCGGATCTTCAGGCTTCTTGGGATGCGGAACGTCGCGATCTTCTTCGCAGAGAGCTGCTGACGTCCCAGATATGCGACGCGATGGTTCCTCATCTTCGTCCCGGTTGCCCGTTCCGCGACGTTGCCGTCGTACGAGCTGCAGCGACCTGGTGCGACGAGCTAGGTCGGTGGAGACTGCCCGACGTGTCGCCGCATATTCCTCTTCCTCCACCGTCGTTAGTCCTCAAGGATAACATACAGTACTCCATACCGCCTTCCAAACCCGATCTCAACAACAACAGCAACGGCAAGGACGCCGAAGACGAGATCGGCAATGAGGCTGACAACGAAGAAAGCAGCGAGCAGGAGGAAACCAAGAAGCCGGACATCGTCGACACGTACTTCCGTCGAAACCGAATCGACAAAATCCTGGCGCACGTTAGGGAAGCGAAAACTTTCGGTAAGCTTGTGGTAGCTTGCAATCTGAAACCCAAGATAGTTCTTCATAATCTGATCACTAGACTGCGGATCTCCGTGCATTAACAAGGAATTTGAAACTGTACAATTGCATAGGATACCCAACATGAACAAATTTATAAAATACTCGAAATACTGCTTCCTATAGTATATTTTCGGGAAAATCTTCCACCGTAATTCTGTTTTTTAAATTCTGTTCTTGAAAATTTGAATTTGCATGAAAATCGGTCTACTGATCACGAATAGCTGATGCAAGAGGATTCAAGAGAAATAAGATGAGGGGAATATTACATTCATAAGTGGCTGACATTTCAGCTGACCAATTAAAAACTACTGGTGACTACTAATCCAAAACATGGACCAGGTACCTATATAAAGACAGTCTTCCTATGTACACATCAGTATCAGTGTGTCTTTAGTCCCTGATGAAGCCAGATGCAATAATGGCGAAACGTTGGGAACAAATTCTTATTGGACACGGCTCTCACCCGAAAACCACTTATGAATGTAATATTCCAAGCCGTGAAAGCATTAACCCCTTACCCTACAACAACGAGCGAGACTCGTGATCAAGATTTTCAAGACGATTCAACAAATACATATATTACTCAGTTCATTCGAATTCAAAGTAAATATAATTCCTCTGTAATCAACTATTATAGTTAAAAGGGAATATGCTTAGAATTTTCCTCTTTTTCCAATAAATTATTAATGACAAAGTAGCTGTATCGATCAGAGTTGAGAAAGAAATCATAGGCCAGGGGGTTAACACTAGAACTACCGAATAGTCAGACTTTCTGAAATTTCTCTATGGAAACTCCAACAGTACTACTATTGAGGTTTCTGTTGATTTACAATTGCCTATTGCTGAATCAATTTCTGTAGTAATTTCTCAGAGAATTATCTGTTATGTTTTTAATCATTATTAACGAAGCAATCAGGAATGGGTCATTTTGACCTCTCTGGTAGTTCTAGTATTGAAGCTACTATGAGAGGAATGATTAGTTTGCATTGGAAACTGATGTCGACAGACTTCTTTCGAAACTATTGTTTCGATTATTAGGATTATTGTTGTTGAAATGGCCTTATGCTAAGATAGAGTATGGCGTTTGTAGATTCCAGTAGCCGGATCAGCCGGTCAGGAGGGTCCGAGGACTTCATTCCACTCGGCGGCAACTATCAGCAGTTGAACGCTCTGAATCTCCAAAGTAGCGCACCAGTGATTGGCGAGGTGGACAGCTACAAGCCTACCCCCCATCTGCCAATGTCTCGCTTCGGAAGGCCAGGTTGGCTGTTGGAGGAGAACTCGATGACCAAGGGCCTTTTCCCGAGCGCTATCAAGAGAAATCCTCCTCGGATACTGGAAGCGTTGCCTTCGTATCCGCAAGGCACCAACGGAGGGATTAAATTCGGGAACAAGATTCTGTCGGACAAACTTTCATCAAGATTGATCGAAAACGAAGCCGACGGGAACCGACCCACTTTAGTTGGGCACACTCGTTCTCCTACCTACTGATACTAGACACGTAGAGACGAAGATGAAACTTGGGGGCAATAATGTTTGGAGGATGTCTGTGATAAGGATGTGCAAATGGTTAGTTGATAAATTATTGTGCACTTGAAATATTCTTTAGGAAAAACTTTGGAAATTTCTGCAATCTGTAATGCAACATTTTGTAATACATAATTTTTTATTTTTTATGAGGCTAATCATGTTTATTTTGTATAACGTTGTAAAATTCTGTTGTTTACTTGATGTCACATCTATACAGATTATAAACTGATTGTAAAATTCAATTAATTAATTAATGACAATAATTAATGAATCATCTAACTGACAATAAGTTATTTGTAATTGGATACTAATTGTCAGTATTATAATGGTAATTTATTACTCACTTTGTGATCGACGCTGTACTCACATCACGTTATGTTTGGAGACGTTGAATTTACATTAAGCACTTTAATGTAGTCGCTTACTTCGTTACGTAAGAAACGGAACGCGCAAATCGCTTTCTAGGATGCGTATCTTTCTAGCAAATCGATTTCATACGTAATATGTTAATCAACTTTTTCCGCCGACCTTCCCATTGAAATGGCCCAACGAAATTAATGCCTGTCGTGGTTCTTTCAGGAAGCAACATCTGAAACGCTCAATAGCGACGGAGCGTGGTAAAGATCGTATCTGAAAACGCAGAAGACTGGGATCTTAACGACGACCGGAGAGTTTATCAAAAATTGCCATTCTCACTGACAATGGACTTGGGAAATTAATAATATTTTCGAATAAATTTACAAATGTTATTAGTAATTTACATTTATTCTTAAGAAACAATGTTTCTCGTCTGCTCGTGCAATTTATTTTTATCTTAATATATAAAATGGTCAAACCACGTTACTGGAAGTTGTACACATTTGAATAATTATTAAAAATAGAGTAAAATTAAATAATATTCCCTTATTAAAAAAAAAACGATTAACACATTGTTCTTTGTACAACAACATATTTATTCCAACGAGTCTGAAGCTACAGAAATTTTCTACGAGCCATATTTTAACTCCTCTTTCCTCTTGTTTCATGCAAGCGCGATGTAGGAAACTCTTGCGAAAAATCTAATCGCTGTGGTACCCGAAACCACACTTTTCCAAGCATCATAGTCATAGACGATAAAAAATAGTTTAATCATCAGCGAATCTTTATTATTTTCCCATGAGCAATATGACAATTACGTGAACGACCATCGATATGATATCCACGAGCAAAGAAGGATCGAAAGAGGTGTTAAAAGACAGGAATTCCAACAGGTTTATGAAAGTACACGTACATCGTTGTGCACACAATTATACAAAGAAGCAATTTTTAAGCAAAAACGTAAACGAGATATCACGAATTCCATACACATTTCGAATAACGTATATTTTGATGAATTAAAATTCAGTAATGTCGTCTCAGAACAGAGTATGCTTTATTCGCTACAATATTAACCGCTTCCTCGTGTTAACACGTTGAATGCCGCACGATTTTAAGCTGCAGGACATGCGAAACGAAAGAAATACAATATTAAATTATTGAATTGAATTGTGTTCATATCATCGCAGGTTTGCCTTGCTGAATCATATTTATGTCACTGCATTAGGTAACGTTATTTGCAATACAGGAATTGTTTCAAGTAACCACCGTTTAATTGAAGGAACTGCAGTAGTTGAATTTGTGCGGAGGTCACCGGTAACCACCACGGCATTCAACGTGTTAATTAGGATATCGAAAACTCTACTATTTTGCAAGCTGGTGTACCTTTGATTCCTAGTGGAAAGAAAAATTGTTCGCATTGGCCGAAACGATCGATGCAATCGCGGGCGTAAAAAGAGAAACCACGAGCAGCCGGGTCACGCGATGTAGAGAACGTACACACATTTTTAATACATTAGATCGCCGGTACGGTTCGATTAATCGTTCCGCGATAAAGGTTCTTGCGAAATCCCGGCGTCGGGAGATTTAAGGTGTGCGACCGACGGTTTTCACTCGACACACGCGCGTCGCTAAAAAAGTGCCAGAGAAAGGACCAAAGCCGTGAAACCACGCTCACGGTTCTCTATGTGTAGGTCAGTAAATCTTTGTACATAGTCCTTGTACATATAAATCCGTGTATACATGAGCAACGGTGTCGTTTTAAAAGTTTTTAGTCGCATTCTTTTAGTTTTTCTTATCGATAGCGAAATTTATTAAAGGTTTTGATTATTGTAATGGAAATTTTAATTATTTTGTTTATATATACCTGTACTATTAATAATGCCTAAGGGTTAGTAATTCTATCAATAAATTACATTGATTTTATTAATACAATTTTGGCATAGATTTTATTAATGAATTATGCATATTTATGAATTGTTGTAATTCGAAATTATTGAAGGATTTAATGATCGATAAACAACGGATGAAAGATGCGTTTAGATACCTGTTTACTTCGTGATTATTTTTTGTTTCAACAATGTGCAACTATAAACTTTTGAACGATTACGTAAATGTTGCTTCATGCTGATTATAGCTGCTATTTTTCCATGTTGATTAATTAGATCGTGAGCATTTGCGCAACTTCGATATTTTATGGATTAATTAAAAAACATGAAGGCTAAATGTAAAATTTAATTGCGATTGCTTCGTTCAGCTGGCAGTGACATGAATTTCCTATTAATCATGCTGACGTTTGCAATCCAATTAAGAATATTGGAATGGTTTAATAATAATCTGTGTTCCGTAACAACAATTCATTGAACCAGGAATAAATAGATGATTTATAGATAGATAATTATGAGAATACTTGATTGGTGTTGTAGTCAATTCTTTTTCTTGTTGATACAGAAAAACCGACAGGGAACAAATTTATTGTTTAACGTATTTAATGATATGTATGATATGTATATGTGTTATAATTAAGATGGTTTGGAATCTAACGAGTTGCACCTATTTTCTCAAACTTATCTCGAACGTTTCTTTGTCTCGCTGACGTAAGAAAATGATGTTTTGTTCTAAAGAAAATTTACATTTTGCGGAAACATACGATTCTCCAAAAAAGCAAAACATGAAACTGGAAAACTAACAGCTCTGCATTTAAGTCCTGACTGTACATAAAATAAAGTAAAAAAGGTCATACATTCGTTTTACTGTTCATAACATTTTTTCCTTCTTATCCTACAAACATCAAGACCAAAATAATGAACATTCACCTCATTTCTTCGCGAACATGGACATTTTTTAAAACAAATTATACCTATCTATCATAAAAATTGCAGCAATAAATTTATTTTGATTTATTCGCATATTCATTATAATATTCAAGTGAAACTATTTACTATTAAAATCATTTCCGATATTCAACACTTTTTGATAAAACACAGACAATGTTTGATGAACCTAATTTAATTACATAATTTAATTAATCGATTAAAAGAAAAAACTATTTTACTTCAATATTTCACATAGTGATGCATTATAGAAAGTTCATTATAATATTTATTAATTACAAATATTCAAATTTAAACTATTTAATTATAAATATCAAATTTTATCATTTACCGTAACAAAGGGTTAACACATCAGTAATTGTGAAATAAGAAAACTAGCACCCGCCATTTTGTCAGACCCTATAGTTCTAGCGTAAAACATATAAGAACATAGTGTTCCTTTTTGTAAATCGTTTGTTTTCTAATATTTTTCATTGAGAAATCGACGAGTCAGCAGATGCAACATGGAATGAACATCGTCGTTTGCATAATTATGCAAACCATCAATTCGATTCCCTTTCCTGGCCCGCGAAAATGGCCGGCGACAAAGAACAGTTCCGCGAAATGAAACTGAAATAAAACCTGCGACGTCGCTGGAGCAACAAAGTGGCTGCCTCGTAAAATAATACGTTCACTTTCTAGCTGGCCCGTATGAAAAAAGGAAACCGGGAACCGCAACGAAACTGCATAACCGATGCGCGGTCATTCTGCCCGATAATTGGGCTGCGCGATTACGTTGTCCGGCGAGTTTTCGAAGTACCGGTGATCCTGGCTGAGTCATTCGACGATTTTCTAGTCACGAGACTTTCATCCACCGCAGCCGGATCGTTGTACTCCCGTCCGGAGAAAAAGATTGCCCGAAGAAACAGCCAGCGACGCAGAATGCGAAAGAAGATCGAGCGATTTATCGTCGAGAAAATTGCCGCTCGATTGCTCGGGAATTTTTCTTATTATTCTGCAATTACCATGTTTCCGATGCATCACGTAGTAAAACTACGATCACGAGCGAATTAAATAAAAGTGTACGACACGAGGAAAGAACGTTAACGGATGGAGAAAGTAAAATGTGTCATTGTACGAAAAGGGTACAGGAGTGGGTAGTTGATGCGGTCTGAAAATTCATTAGGATGAAGTATTTTTAATACGTATACGTGATGAGAGATTTATTAAACGACGAAAAATTTAACTTTTACAGTCGCTCTGAAATTGAATGATTTATATACGTTGGAATAAGAAGTTTAAGCAATAAACTGTTGCAAATGCGTGCAATCTCTAGAATTTGTTAGCACGACCGCAAGAAAGAAATTGCGAAAGGACAGCGTGCAATGTCGAGCACGGTCAAGTTAATCGAGTAAACAAATCGGAAGGAGTCTGTCGTAATTCACGACAAGACGCATTTTGTACGCATCTGCATCGGAACACTAAGATGAAAGGTCGACAGATTTTCGACAACGTTGCAGGTCGGGTCATTGCAGATAATTTGATCGACATGTGCACGCGAAATAAACAGTAATTCAACACTTTCGGTGCGAGATCGATATATGCATCAAAGAAAAAAAAATTATCTTGAATGAAAAAGTTCAATACTTTCGATCTTCATCAGTGACAAATTTTCAAAACAATTCACAATTAAGCAAAAACCGAACAATGTTCGTCACGATATATTACAATATAAAAAATCGATTATGAAAACAAGATTGTAACATTTCACAGTGTTATGTACGACTTACTCGTACCGAATCATAAACTAATTGACAGGGAAGCGACTTGTGGATGCCACGTGTGATGCAGCGAAAAGCTGCAACCGCAAACGTCAAGTAAATAGTTACAAATTACAACGCTGATGAAAAGAACCTAGACTTTTGACAATTTCCTACTCTAAGACACAAAATAGGCACACCCTCGACCAATGACAAAACACAACTTTCTTCCACCCAAACATGCAACTGACCAATCCAAAAATCCCAAGTTTACATAAAATGTGACACTACGAGAACTGGATAGAGCGCTATGAAACCTCTCGAAAGACACAACTCCACAAACGTCGCGAAACCGAACTTTGTACGAAAGTCCTAAAAATCTGTGTAATTATAAAAAAGTGTTTCTTTTACACTAACAACTCGCCGTATGTCATTCTCCGATCGGGACAAGAACCCAACCGTTTACACGGAAACCCTTCCGTCTGTTACGACGACGTAACGCACAGTTAGGAAATTCCAAAAAGATTCATCTATAAAAATCATTATCGTTATAACTATTTCGATAATATTCTTATCCGTATTTATCGAGCTGAGCGAAGTTACTGTAGTTCAAAGCTTGTATGAAAAAGATAGGATATATACTAGAATTTTAATCGACACTAGATAAATAACGTTCAACAGAAGACGCGCTTTACGTCAGCGAAATCGATTCTAGCTCACTGATAGTTCGTGGAAACGTCACGTATGTTTTGTCATTAGGCGCAAATATTCGGCGAGAATGAAAGCGAATGATGGAAGAAACCAGCCTCCAACCGATGGGTTACTTTTACTTTCTCTGTTTCGCACGGAACGCAAAACGCCAGCGAAGTCGGCGGAGGCCGAATGGAGTCCGCTTTCCCTGTCGTCCTGGCAGTCGAATCTTGCCGTGACCGCTCTCAAAATCCTTTGAGGCTACCGTGAGTGTCACAGCTAACACTTTCGACCGGGCCGATGGCACCGTTCGCCAAGCATCTTTCACAGGCTTTCGATTCGAAGCCTAAAACTCGATCGCATTAATGACTTTCCTGTGGACTGGTCAATTAAAATCTTTAAAAATAAAAGAGAAATACTTTTGATCCTCTCGGTTCGATACATCAGAGGTCTTAATATGTTATAACAATTCGGTATCTTATCTTAATAACGTATCCTCTTAACACGCGATGAAAGTTCAAAACAGTATGGCTGACTCATGCTAAGGACAACACGATGACATTTATGTATTTACGTACATATGTACGTCTTACGTTGCAATTAATGAACTTGTTTTAGATATTTTTTATTGGTATAATTAAAATGAAAAACAGAATGACGTTCAACAGAGTATTAGGTAAAATGGCAAATGAGATATTTATTTTGAAATTATTGTAAGTTCATTTTTATCAAATAGTTCATGTTTATTTAATACAAATTGAATATATTATATGTATTGCGAAAATTTATACATAAATAGTATTATCTGCAAGATAAATTTGAAAATGGAAAAATATCAGAGGCAGTTCTAGTGCAAGTACTGAATGAAAACATAGATACACTTATACGTTTGCAGTTTATCTTTATCAATGATAAGCAATATACATTTCTTCCGGATGAGGTTTATATAACCGGTTCAGAAATATTAAAAGAGAAAAAGAAATCGGATGGCACGTCGCTGATAACATTGACATCCAAACAGGACTTTCATATTTATGGTCGCTCGAGTCTCATAAAGGAGCGGATCAGTGTAGAATATTAGAATAAAAATGTTATCCTTCTACAATGACTCATGAATGCACATGTAAGATGAGTGGTATTTCCACACACGATGATTCAGAAAAAACGATACAGTTTTTACAGGAGCTTTATCGTTCGTATTTTCATTTGTAAAGATTTCAAGCGGATTTAATTACCCCAAGAAAATTAATCTTTTTCTCAGTCACTATGAGATTGCAAAATATTAGACGTCACAGCACGTTGTTTTCTGCCACAGCCATTTTGCCTTCATTCTGTGGAATGTTATCTTTGCTGAAATTGTTTTTTGAAATTAAATGATCGTTTTCATTTTTAATATATTACCTTTACAATCTTATTATATTCAATATCTTCATTCTATTTTCCGTTCAATCTAATCCCTGTATAAAATTGATTAATAAAAAAAAGTATTTTACAACTGAAGAATTAAAGAAAAATTAGGATCGATGTATGTTTCACAAAGTATGAAATTTAAATATGCTATTTGCTTTTACTAATAAGCGTCCGTGGATGTCTCCGTTTCTCAACTTTCATAATGATAATTATCAATATCATTGGTTTAGACACAGTATGAATGTTTCAATAATTATTTAAATAAATCATAATTAATCTTAAGTATTATCATTTAGGGTCTGAAGATTTGTTCGCGGAGACTACTATCTAACTTATTATTTGCAAAGAGACTGAAAAGATGATATATCCACAATAAACATATAATTCATAACACGATATCGTATCTGTGTTAACAAAGACTTGTTCGAGTAAACACGAAATACATTCATATCAATTAATGCAGATCACTAATGATAACATGGCGAAGTGCCTCGGTACCTTATTGCGATTGTTTCACGCTACACACTTATACATAGATAAGACGTAGGTGTAAAGACTATTTACTTTATAAATATTTAAAAACCATTTTATCATTAAAAAAAAATGTAAATATAATTAGGTTGAAGAATTCATTGAAAAACGAATGCAGGCGCCGTTATGCGCCGCTATTTTCTTTTTTCTATTTTATGAATTATTGAATCTTTTTTTCTTAGATCATAAATGGAGACGTTATTACAGCCAGTTTTTAATGTTGAGTTTTTTTGTTAATACACGAATACAGGAACTTTTTAACACGTTAAATGCCATGGGGGTCACCGGTGACCCCCGACCAAATCGAATTACTATAGTTCACTCAATTAAACAATGATTATTTGAAAACATTTCTATATTATAAATAAAACTGCCTAGTGCGGTAACATTCAGCCAGACGAACGTGCAATAATAACAATGCAATTCAATAAAATGATTTAATATTATATTTTTTCATTTTGTGTATTTCATTCTATGAAATCGTGCGGCATTTAACGTGTCAAAATATGTATGAATGTACAGAACAGAGTTACAGGTGAAAATAAATATTTACATTTTATTCACTTCGATCCTGCTGAAAAGAATACACACATAACCCTTGATTCGGTGCTGCCCCTCTCAGCGAATGACTGAATCGCAGAGAACCATCAGGCCAAGAGCAGGAAGGCGCATGGCCGCACGTAATGCGAATCAGAGCAGAGCACTGACCTTGTTGCTGTTCACATTTCATGGGATGGTTGCTACCTGAAACTTTTCTTGGTAGAAAACATTTGAAGTTAGAATTACTGTGACTACCATGACTCAATGGTTTCAAACGATTTTCTTAACACGTTGATTGCCACAGTGGTCGACGGTGATCAGAATTTCCAAATTGCTTGAAAACAATTACAATAAGAAAATTGACATTGAATTAAAATATTTAGTAACACAAGAAGCTAGATAATAGTGTAGTATGAGTACTGTAATACCAAAACATTAATAACTATTTTAAATACTATTAGCCTTTAATATTAAGGGATAAATCTTAGTATAACAAGACGCTCGAAATTTTCGTGGCAGTCAATGTGTTAATCGTCAAGAAATAACAATGAAACAAACATAAATTTTTTGTTAAGATTAGTTTCTCACGCTTCGTCGCTCAATTAACTTTAAACATGTGTATTTTAATAAACGCCACGGCGCAGCGTTACATCTCTTCTCAATTCATCTCATTTTAATAGTTGCAACGTAACAATTCATCTTGAGCATTATAAACGCTCCTGGTTTCATCAGTTTCAATCGACCACTTGGTGAACTCCGAAATTCTACGCTTTTCAGAGCAACGCGAAAACCTAGTTATTTTTATTATACATCCAAAAACTACTGACATGAATGAATCTCAGTTTGTACGTCACGATCTTGAAAGAGTACCTTAGAAAAAAAAACAAACGCATAGCGTGTCTCTTTCATCTTTTTTGTCCGCACTCGTGTCAGTGTTTACGCTCTGCCAACGGCCATATTGTCGAAAAGTAGCTGCGTAGTATGTTTACAAACAAACGTATACATGAATTCCGACGAAGTGCGGACATTCACGAGTGAGCTACAAGATATATTAACACTAGAATTACCAAGCACTTAAACTGACTTTTCCAAATTTCTTTATGAAACTTGTAACTGTGTATTTATTAAGATTTCAATTGGTTTATATTTTAGTGGAGGTATTACTACATCAGCTTCTTCAACGATTTCTCAGAGAAGTATCTATATCTTTTCAGTAATTGTATAAAAAGAAATCAGAAATGGGTCATCTGGTAGTTCTAATGTTCATTCCTTTCAACATCTGGGTTGCTACACCTAGAAGACAATCCAGCCATCTAGATAACAAATGTTATATTCTCGGAAGAAAGGTTTAGAAGAGTCAAAGACAATTCACGGAACACAGGGGTCACTGCACGCTGCCGCCAGTGAACGTCTATATCCACACGCTATGAGAAAAAAAACATTAAATTTCTAATAGAAAGAGGTAAACGTCTAAGCGGATTTGAAACGTTAATATTAACCAATATCCATGCAATTTTAACACTATTTCTACCAAAGGTATCGAAAGACACCTTTCGAAATTTAAACTTGAAATTATTTTCCAAGATTGCTCGTATATTCTGAATTGACTTTTCGATTTTTCCAATAACGATCATAAAATTGACTATAGGAAATGTCCAAAATTCAATTGAGGAAAAGCTATTAACAATTATAAGTTAAAATTTCGAAAGGTGTCTTAACACCTTCAGTAGAAATAGCGTTAAGCAGATGCTACTATATTATACAAATCGAGAAAAATGTAAACTTTAATTCAGACATTATCTTTATATTATCCAGCAAATACTCTTCACCGATATAGTAGTTATATTTTAATTAGTTTCGAATCAAATAAAAACCTTGCTATACTACAGTGAATGCATAAAGTTCCAAACCAGCGTTTAACACGTTCGCTACCAGCGCTTACTTTGGTGAGGGTCTCCTATTATAATATTTTCTTCAATCCAATAAATCTTCTGAACAAAATATTATAAAAATGAAACCGAAACGAGTCATTGAATTCCTAAATATAACGTAGTAGTTTCTAATTTCTAATAACAAATATCTACAGATTTAACCCTCTGTAGGCCCATGTAACTTTGAAGTCACGTATCAGTATATTGGCATCTTTTTGATTTATTTCATTTTGCACTCAAAGTGGTGAATAAAATTAAGTAACCAGTTAACTTCAACTTTTATACACTCAGGTATGAAAGTTTAATGTTATTGTAACTTAAAAGTTACAAAATATATTTATTTGATGAAATTATTGAAACTATTGAATACATTCTTAATTCGTATTCATACGTGGATATATATTAATTTTGTATTGCATAGATTTTACTATAATCATAAACAAAAATTCGACCCACAGAGGGTTAATTTCATTTTCATTATGTAAAATATAGGATCACGGCCGTCACAAATGACGCTGGTATCGAACGTATTAAACGCATGATACACCGGATCAACAGCAAAATTAATAACACAGGAAACATCTTCTCATTTCTCCTTTTTGCTACACTATGTTGTAATGGTCTTTTACCTCGTCACACGAACTGCAGTTTGTCCTACATTTCCAACGGATTCTTTAGGATGCACATAAGTACATAGTTGAATAATTCGTTCGTTCCCGAGGCGGCGAGCCGAGAACGCGCAACTCGTGTGCAACACGTCTGTGTCTAAAATAAGAATTAACCGTACGCCACGACTGGCCGAAAGTCTCGCGGATCGCTGGCATAACTGACAATGACATTTCGCCCTTAACCGTGTGGACTTGCGGAGAAAGGAGCGTTGTGGGGGGACTGAGGAGAGGTGCAGAGGGAGAGGAGGAAAAGGAACAGGAAAGAAGAGACAAAGAAACTCGAACCCGCACGAACGCGCCGCTGCGAGACGTATTCGCGATACGTCTAATAACATGACCAATACACAGGCACGTGCAATCTTATCTTCGTAGCGAGGAGAGGATGGTTGCGGATACAGTTAAGTAGCGGCACTTTGATCCACAAATGCGCCATGTGTTCCGAGTTTCGAGCGAGCTGCCGATCCCAGTGACGATATAACTTATCGGTCGGGCACGGACGAAAATATACGTGCCGCTGCGCTTTAATCTTTTCTCGTTGGGAGCACACAGGTAGGGATAATCTAAAATTGTATCGGTGCTACTAAAAAAAGACATTCCCAAGCGATTAACATTACATGTACCGTGCACTTAACACGTTCGCTACCAGTGTCATATTTGTGACGATCATAATTCTATATTTTACACAACGAAAATGAAATTAATACAAATTAATTAGAAATAATAAACTACGACATTACAGTTAGGAACTCAATGACTCGTTTCAGTTGTCATCGCTGGTAACGAACGTGTTGAACTGACTTTTGAACATTTCTTTATTAAAGCTACAAGATTTACTAAGATTCTAATTGGCTCGTGTTTTAGTTTAGGTGTTACCAAATCAGCGTCATCAATCATTTTTCAAAGAAGTATCTGTACCTTTGGAGTAATTGTAACAGAAGCAGTTGAGAATTGGTCGTTTCGACCCACCTGGTAGTTCTAGTGTTAACGCACGATCAACGTAAGGTTCGATACAATTTCATGAATAGTTTATGAAAAAGATTCCAAGGTTGAGAACCAGCCGCGGAGAGTCCGTGTAACCTCCAATTACTGGACGTACCCTGTCCGTACGCCTCGAATTCCGTGTAACCATTTTCCGAGGTGGGAATCGTACGATCTTCCCGTTGGCCGTCGCGATCTCGAACAGTGACGACCACTGAATCGGACTGTATTGTACGAGACAGAAATCTCGTCGTAGCCTTGCGAGAGGAGACAATGGAGTGCATCGACGGGTAATAGCGGATCAAGCGTACGTGCGTGTGTTCCGTCTCTAGGAACGCTGGGACTCGAAACAAACGGATGACGTACGGCCGACGAGCTCGGGTCCAAGTCCAGCGACGGACAACCAGTCACGGCTGCCTGTTGCGCCGGAGAGGGTTCAAAAGAGAGTGGAGCGGCGAACCGCCGGGAGACGTAACGAGCAGTCGCCAGCTGGTGGCCGGTCTACGTGGATCGTTTGTGCTTGCGACGAGTGTGCACGGTTTGCTTGGTGTGTACGCAAAAGCGGTTCCGCGACGCGATAAGCGCGAGACTTTACGGACGAAAACACTCGTGCTCCGCAACATGACGACGAGTTGCTTCCGTTGACGGTGGTTCGCTTTCAAAACGGCTCGGCGGAGCTTGCTATTGTTCTAAGAGACGCAAGCGAACGCACACCGATGAAAGTGTGCCTTCGGCAGGATGTCGTCTGTGTTTTCGAAGCTGATCGACAAGACGTCTGCCAAATACGGCATCAAGCAAGAGCACCTCACGCGTGGCGTCGTTAGCGCAGTAACGACACTCTATCTTCTCAAGATTGGTTACCCGTTAGTGGCTTCTAGTATCAAGAAGTATCAGGAGAGAAAGAGGAAAGAAAATGAATGTGCGGGCAAGACTACGAAACGGTACAAGAGCAACGCCATTAATGGGGGAACCCCCGTTAAAGCTGGGAAGCCGAGCGTCGGTCTGGACCGCGAGTTCGTTAAACAGCTGATCGCGTTACTGAAGATCATGGTTCCAGGATGGAGAACGCGCGAAGCCGGATTGTTGACCTGCGCTACACTGACGCTACTCACGAGAACTTTCCTCTCTGTGTATGTTGCCACTTTGGAGGGTCAGATCGTGAAGAGAATAGTGCTCAGAGATGTGCGCGGTTTCTTTTGGATGCTAGCTAGATGGTTCGCCATTGCTTTACCCGCGACCTTCGTGAATTCGGCCATTCGGTATTTGGAGGGTCGGCTGGCTCTAAGCTTCAGGTACATCTGCGTGAATATAATCCCGATTTTTTTTTTGTTTCTGATTTTTTACAAAGTAACTGTATTGTGTAATTGACATTTGCAATTGTTGAATTTGTTTTTTTTTTGTTTTTGAAGAGGACGCTTGGTGGAGTATGCTTACAAAATGTATTTGAGTCAGCAAACCTACTACAGAGTAGCAGCTCTGGATACTAGACTCGGAGGTGCTGAGCAAAGACTGACAGATGATTTGTCTGAACTGGCAAGTTCCGTAGCACATCTATATTCAAGTTTAACCAAACCATTGTTAGACTGTGCACTAGTGGGTATTGCATTAATGTCTTTTTCATCTAAAATGGGAGCAAGAAGAATGCAAGGTAAGGTAGTTCATTAGTATCAAGTTATGAAACAAAGGTTAAAGACAGGTGTATTGTTATTTATGTGTAATTTTCATTTCATAGGTCCATTACTGGCATCTGCAGTAATAGCTTTAACTGGTCAAATTCTACGTCTTGCTTCTCCTAAGTTTGGTCAATTGGTAGCTGAAGAAGCATCACGACGTGGACGATTGAGAGAGGCTCATGCTCGCATTAGTGCCCATGCAGAAGAAATTGCATTTTATGGTGGACATTGTACAGAGCATCGCTATTTAACTACAGCATATAAGTCTCTTGTATCACATTTAAGAAGAGTGTTAGCACTCAAATTGTGGTATGTGATGCTAGAACAGTTACTCATGAAATATGTGTGGTCTGGCACTGGACTCTTAGTTATTGCCATGCCTGTGCTTTATACTACAGTTACTTCTAGAAGTTCATCCAAATATGATGATGGTGATGGTGTGTATATGTGATGTAAAAGCAACTCGCAATGTCAAACAGTGAAATGTAATTTATTAAAAATACCTTTTTGAAAAATAGGTGGAGTAAGTGAAAGGACTAGGTATTTGACAACTTCTAAAAATCTTTTAAGTTCTGGGGCAGATGCTGTGGAAAGACTTATGTCATCGTATAAAGTAAGAAATTTGTTCAATTTGTATCAGAAAAAGATATGCTTATGTTGTATCATATGTTACTATAATTTATTTGTGAATGTAGGAATTAGTGGCATTAGCAGGGTATGCAGCACGAGTCAGTGAAATGTTAGACGTATTTAAAGATGCTGCACTGTGTAAATATAGAAGAAATATTGTTAGTAGTCCTATGAAAATAGCAAATGGTAATGCGAATAAGATCCTAGAGAGAATAATTGAATTAAAGGATGGTACACCAGTGATTAAGGGTAAGCTTTTGCTGATGTAAAAATAATTCATAAAATACTGATATTGTAAATAATATACTTGATAGGAATCGTACAAGAAAGCACTGATGGCAGTATAAGCTTAATCAATGTGCCAATAGTAACACCAAATTGTGAAGTTATTGTGCCGAAGTTATCAATCCATGTAAGTGATACATGATTTTATGTGAAATGTCTGAGTGTAAAGTATACATTTTTATAGATTGAACCTGGCGATCATATATTAATCACTGGTCCCAATGGATGCGGGAAAAGTTCTCTATTCCGCATAATTTCTGGTCTATGGCCAGTTTATGATGGTACCTTGATGAGACCACCTCAGAATTACTGTGGAAGACCCGCATTATTTTATATACCACAAAAACCTTACATGACAGTTGGTTGCTTGCGGGACCAAATCATCTATCCTGCAGAATCCCAAACAGAAGACTGCTCTGATGAAGAACTCCTGAAATTATTAGGAGAAGTTGATTTACGAGGACTAGCGGAGAGGGAATCGGAAGGGCTCGATACTGTAGGTGATTGGGATTCAACTCTATCTGGTGGTGAAAAACAAAGGCTAGCAATGACTAGATTACTCTATCATGCACCGCAATACGCTTTGTTAGATGAGTGCACTAGTGCCGTGAGCCTCGAGGCTGAAGGCGTAATATATGAAACCGCCAAAAAGAAAGGCATCACGTTGCTAACTATTACTCACCGTGTAGCATCACTTGCAAAATACCATAAACTGTTGTTGCGCTTCGACGGTGAAGGAGGTTGGGCTTTTGGTCCGTTAGACGAGAAAAATGCAGCACTTTTAATTAACCAAGTTCATGAAAAGAACGAGCAAAATGAAGTGAAAGGAGGCCGGTATCAAATATCACAGGTATACTCAGAGATCGATCATTTTTTTAAACTGTGCTGTTACAAAGAATTAATTTATCGTTTATTTTATTATATTTGCAGGAACTTCGTGATCTACATTCGGAAGAGTCAAAGATTGGGATTAGTTGAAGAGCAGTAGACAAAATACTTGAAGATGTTTTTAGTTAAATTCATGTAGAAATTTACATAAATGTAAATATTTTGAATATGTATTTTGTACAAAGGTTTTCAACAATATCTAGTTTAGTTCTCTATTTTTATATGAGGAACACATGTTATTTTCACAATAATTAAAGGCATTTAAACCAAACAAAAAATATAACCTAGTTATACAAGAATCACTATAATATAAGCTTATATTGCTTTAATAAAACTATTTTTATATCTACGTACAATTACTTTCTCCACATTTACTGAAACTTCTTCAATAAAGGATATGATAAATTGTTTTCACATTTTCGTGTACAGTAGTTAATTTTGAAAATAAGTTTATTCTTTTCCTATTACAACTGATCTAGCACGTTCACCTAAAGTGAAAAATCTATTAATATTCAGGCTGAAACATAATACACATGATTCTAAAGACTGATCATAATTTTGTAGTAAAAATTTTACAAAATTATATATACGTAAGTATATATATATATTTTTTTAGTATTAATTTATTTAAAGTCTTTTTATTTTAAGTGCCACCTATGTAAAACACATTATTTAAAAATATTTTGAAACTTCGAACAATAAAATTAATATTAATATACTTTTTGCACCACACGATGATGTTTACATATTATTTGAATCCAATAAAGGAATTTTCATGAAAACACATTATCTGTCTGTTTATTACCTCCTACCTAACATTACACACCAGAAGATAACATTCCAAGAAAATTCCGATTGATAAGAACTTACACGGTACTTTATAAAAGTCTACACACAAACATAAAACGAAATTAACTTTACAGATTCAATAAGTAATTTAATTATAGAGAATCTGTGCCCACGTCTCTAGATACGCAGCACTAGATTACTAAGCTCCTTATATCAGATCTTAAAAAGAAACAAAATAGTATCGTTACAAACATTTGCCTCATCATTATCTATTATCAAAAAAACAAATTAAGAAAATTCTTTCCTTATCGATCCACGAAAAATATTTTGCAAAGATTAAAAGCAAAACAATAGAAATTATCAGTATCGGTGATAATTGCTCTTTGAATCTTTCAAAAATAACGTAACGTTTGTATTTCTTCTTTCATGATTTCTAAGAGCAAAAATGCCTGTAACTGAATAGAAAAAGCGTAAGAGACATGTGATATTTGTAATTTACTGAAAAGAAAAGACAGAGGAAGAGAGAGGATCGGTTCTAAACGTGGAAAGGGTGAAACGACGGAAAGAAAGGGGGCGAGAACGGAGCAGAGAGAGAGAGAGAAAGAGAGAGAGGAACTCGATTAAAAGCCGGATCGTGGATTAAACTGTCTTTGCCGGCAATGCAGCTGCGGTCAGGTGGTACCACCATCACGCGCACATTAATTTGTGCCGGACAAAAATTTAATTACGTGTGTTTCTTTGTTTTGAAGGGCCAGCAAAAGCGGCGGGGGCGATGCCAGGGGAGGGAAGACCCACAATTTCCGATGAGCTTACCTCTGGGAAACCCTCCAAACGCCAAACGTCGATACGCCCGGGAGCAGCCATCTTGGGGGGTTGTATACCTCTGTGCAACGTTCGAGCTAATGCTTTAAAGCAATTCCAGAATGCTGGCGCAATTGCCTGTTTCTCCGATACGGCCAGCCTCATCTCCTACGCTGATTCTGTTCAACGGTAGAAATAAAAGAATTTCAATCAAAGTTGAATCACACATTTTGATATAGAAAATCAAGATACCAATAGGGAAGATTCTAGTGATAAACTTGTAAAGGGAAAATAATACTTGAGCGAATGATGATAATATTTGGAAACAAACTTTCAATTGAATTTCGAGCAGTTTAAAAGGAGGAAATAAAATTTTGTGTGACCTAAGTTGGAGGAAGTGAAACGGAATTATTTTCGCGAGTAAAAGAAGTAGACTTTTTTAATTGATAAAGTATATTCACCGCAAATGTCTGAACTCATTCTTATATTTGTTTCGTATCGTGTCATTTAGTATAGATAAAACGTTGTACTTTGTATAAGATATGCAGACAAATATGGCGATATGAATGTGTTTAAGTTTATCTTTGGAATATTCTGAATACGTAAAAAAATGTTTTAAATGTGTCTATAAATTTTGTAAATACAGTTTTTTTACTATAAAATTCCTTCTCAAATACTTGACATTTGGTTATGCAAGAAGATAAATTATTTTCTTGGAGGTAGCATAAATCCAAGTAGATATTCTTGTTTTGAAATATTTATAGGTTTATAGTAAACGTTCTTGTGAATAAATCTTGCGAGTAATAAAAAAGATGTTTTATTTTTAAGACTCCCATAAGAAAATACTGTAAAAAATTGTGAATAAAAAAATTCGGCAGTTATCTAACTTTTTTCCTGCACGTACACTTTTTTACTTCTCGATTACTATTGAACGTTTCTTTAATCACATCTTTATTCTAATTCAAGTTAGATAAATGATGCATGAAATTTCATTAAAAAGGAATGAATTACTTTTGTGGAAGTCTCAGAAAATAGGTTCTTTGAGAATACGGTGTAAAACGGGATGTATGTAGTACTACTATAGTGACTGTAGGTCATATGCAAATTCGATTAATTCGTACAAATGATACTTCGACGCATTTCATTTGTGTTTCATTCACTTCATGAATGATGTATAACGCTGCTCATATAAGTTAATTTATGTTCATTCTAACTTCATGCTAGAATTTTCACATAATTGTTAGCTGAAATTAAAATCTCAATTTGTGTCCGTATCTAAAAACATTGTAACAACATATGCATTTTCAATTTATATTTTACATTGCATCTGGTATATTAATTTATAAAAGCACACACTCGTCAAAAGATAATATTAATCATAAAGTGTGGAGAAATCTAAGTTACTTATAAGTCTTATAAGACTTTTAGAAATTTCTTTATAAAAACTCCAAGAGTGCATCTATTAAGATTTCAGTTTGCACGTGAAATCACGTGCTAAGTCATTTCTATAGCAATTTCTGTAAGAAACATCTGTTATCTTTACAATAATTACGAAAAGAAGAAACCAGGAATGGGTCATTTTGACCGGTTTGGTGGTTCCTAGTGTTAAGGGGGCCGGCAAGATGGTCGACAGAGACGCGGCGCGCGCCACGCTGCGGATTCGCGAGCGTGGATACACCTCCGCGTCGCAAATCCCATCGGATGACAAGATAGCGATCGGATAGTAAGTTATTACGCTCTTTATCCCGGAGATGCTGGCCGCGCGTATGCGGTGACGGTGGCGGCCGGCTGGCACGCGCCGCGTGTAATTCAATCGGCTATTTCGACAGGGGTAGGCGCGGGGACGAAGTTTTAATCCCCAAGGAACTGTTACGAACAGCGGCTGAGACCGGCATCCTACCGCTAATCATCCCGGCGATTCTTACACCGTATTTTCTTAACCGAGCATTCGGACAGATGCTGGTCCGTCGGCGGACAGCTCGCTCCTTCAACCCCTTTTCGGGGCAACGAAACACGATACGCCTTCGAAGACGGCTCGTGGACGAATCCGCCGGTTGCGAAAGCACTCCGGTTAGAAATAACAACGTTTTCTTCGCTTTTGAATAAACAATTAACATCGGGGGTTGAACTTTTGGTGGCTGATCCGTTGGACAGCAGCTTCGAGCTTCGAAGCAATCTGCTTCGTTAATTTGATAGCCAGGGTTTGGGAAACGCAACTTAGCTTGGGCACTGTGCAGCTTGGAATGTGCATTTTGGGGTTTCGACTGAGAAGGGATGTATTGGAGAAATTATATCCTTTGCGAGTGTAAATTGAGAATTAAAGTCATGTCTCGAATAAGATTTTATCTTTTGGTTTCGGTTAATTAAGAATAAAGTGTTGCATTAAGAATTGTACACTAAACGTCACTGAGTCTTGTATTTTGGAAATTTTCAGATTCTTCTAGGTATGTACATTGTTATTGATACGTAGGAATTTGAACTGCGATACTTTTAAGTGGATAGTTTTGCGGAATAGACGAGCATTTTCATGATCTTTCGAATGGAAAACCGCAACGGTGGCCCGTGTTACAATTACACGGATTCTGGAATGGCGGCCTTGCCCTTGCCGCAAGAGGTGGTACGCCGCAAACGTAATTAAGCGGCCGTGACGTATTTGGTAACATCTCCATCGTCCGAGCAGGGGATTTTATCTAACCGCCGAAGATTATCCGATGGGCAATCACTTTCAGTGTAGGGAGATGGAAAATGGGACTGGTAGGATGAACGTTTGATCGCGAACAATACCATCACTGTCATCTCATCACGGTGGTTAATCACTCAACCCTGGGCCGCGACGATCACCGCTTTTCCCTGTGGGCGCGTTACTTCAAGCGTGAATCTCCCTTTAGATTTTTATTTCTCTGTTTTATCAATTGCACATTTTCAGAACATTCATTCAAAATTGTATTTCTATGACCAACCACATTGATACTTTCAAACAAACAACACTGGAAAAGTGTTGAGAAAAGCAAATAAGATGAAACGATACCATCATCATTTTTATCATTTTTATAAACAGGAAACTAAGTTTCTTTTACGATTCTGTGTTGTATAATACCTACATGAACAGAAGAAAATTGCTTGCCATCCTACGAAATTGTCATATATTACCAATTCACTTCATTAGTGGAACGTCTGAATAATTACTTCAGCTTTTGAATAATGAATGAATAGGAAGTGTCTCTAATATTCGATTCAATCAATTCACACGTGAATCTTGGAAATGTGTATCTTCTTCCCGCGACCACCCTGCAACGATGATATTTGCCGAAGGTATTTAAGGAAGAGGTATTCACCGATGAACCGGTCATCCGGCGATGTGCAACGTGCACACGTGATCGATGCGGATGTGCGTACGGTGCGCGTTTGCAGCGGTGTAATCGCCTCTTTGATTTCAGGTGCGGGCAAACACAGGTGTGGCTGCGCGAAGCAATGGCTTCGAGAGGGTGATGACGGCTGGTTGCCATAGACGCTATCTAGACTTCTGAACGGGAACATTCGGGTACCGCGAACCGAACGCAAACAGATATAAATGTAACACGTGTATATCGGCGGCGCATTATCTCATCGGTGAATTTATAATTTGCCGGGACGGTCGATGCTGAATCATTCTACTCTGAGACGATCACTTATGATAATCAAGATATTTTTAACTCTTCACTCCGTAACATCGTGTCAGCTTAGCGATGCAAATGTCAAGCAAGATTTAACAAATTTGAATGTATTGCATGCTTTCGAGTGAACGGAAAATATTTTTAGTTGGAGAAACAAATATTTGCACCTGAAATATGAGAGAAATTTCTTACTGTTGTCCAAATGTTTTAGACCCTCGCGAGTGTCAGTAACATAACAATTTTGTGGATTATTCGCGAATGGAATTAAAGTTTCCGCTGAACAGAAGTGCGCTGTCGAAAACGTACTTCCGGAAGAAATAGGAACGGTCAGCGAGTTTCTGTTCTTCCCATTCGTTTTTTTTTCTCTTTTTGTCAGCGCAATGTTCCTGGCTAAAAGCGTCACCTCTCACGAACCAGGGCCGTATCCGACTATCGAATGTCGGCATAATCGCGGCCGTCAGGCCGGACACCTGACCTACGTAGTTCCGATGTGGACACAGGAAGAGGAAGTCGACCGCACGGCACCGTTCTGCCGTCGACCGTGTGTCACCGATCATCGCGAATACCTGGGATCATGTTCTGCGCTGCTTTTTCCATCGATATTCGTTCGATAATTAAAAACGCAGAAGTATTAACGTTGAGAAAAAGGTAGAATAATATAAGTAGACAAAGTAGGTGGATAAATGAAAATAATAAAAGACTGACGATATAGGATATTACCAATAAAAGAAATGGCACTTAATAGTACAGTTTAACTCTAAAATGGTTAATAGATTAATGTCTACAGATTCATCATGTTATCCTGGGCATGTACTATTATTCAGATGTCAAAAAGCTATGAACTGTCGTCACATCATTTCATCCTTCATTTGTATTTTAATTCTAATTGCGAGAAAATTCGTAGAAGCATTTCTTCTAAACAGTTACATAGCAACAGATAAAAAACTTTATCGTAGATACATAAAGATTCGCAATGCAGATATTCGAAAAACGAGAGAAGGGAAAAGGACGTGAAGTGTAAAGATGAAAGGAGAGGGTGGAGTGATGGAGGAAGAAAGGTAGAAGCGAATGGAGAGGGTGTAAAGATGAGAAGGAGAAGGGGAGAGGGTCGCATAGAAGAGAGCAGAGCTCGCAGCACGCCGAGTGTACACCCTGGGTATTGGCTTACACTTCCAGCCGATTGGGCCCACGGTATTTACGCAGGACCCCGTAGAAAACCGGACCCCGCCCTCTCCTGCCCTTCGTTCGTAACGTGCAATTCCACGGAACTGTAACGTTTCCAGCGACCCGGAGGAGTTCCTTGCACCGTGACATTCTTCCCCGGCAAAAAGGACGTGGCAGGATATAAAAAGCTTCTTGATTGCTTTTAGCAATCACCTTTTTAAGATACATGAATTGATCTTCAAATTTTGGTAGAAACTTCGTGGACGATACTTGACGTGTAAGATTAAAGACCGCGGACTAAAGAAATAGAAATGATAAGTTACTAATATGTCCGTTTATTGAGTATGTCTACTTCGACATATATTCCTGATGTAGTACTATCCATTTTCCATGGTAAATTTACTGAAATTAACAGTTGATAAAGGCTAGAAGTGATAAAAACATCTGAATGAATTTTCTAAAATCCAGTCGATTCTATAATAATATAAAAATAACAAATTCGTCTTAGCAGTTTACCTCACTCAGTGCTAAAAGGTAATCCTATCAACCCTACAGAAGAAATTCGCATGACTCTACAACCACCTCTGCAGACTCGACGAACTTCCGTTCCCTCGAAACTCGAAGCGTCATCGCACACCAACAGCTCATTCCTGAAAGTATTCATCGACTTGATCGCTGAACTGAAGAATGCAGATATAAGTGGTCTGTTTTTCATTTCATCTTCGATTTCAATTTACTATTCATCATTACGGTTACGCATAACCAAGACTATAAACAAACCACGCAACGAGCCGTGAAGGCAAATACGAACAGTAGCTCTGAAAGCGAAACGAACGACGAAAAGAAACGAGAAGGAAGAAAATGTCTGCGAGACGGACACGTCTCGAGGAATCGTATGATCGAAGGGTGTCGTGGGGTCGCGAGGATCCCCGTGGCGAGGGAAGATTTCGCAAGGTGAGGACAGTCGGAGGGGGTTGACGTTGCACACCGGCAAGTGGAATAGGTAGCGTCAGGGTCTTTCGCAGCCGGGCTCACCGTTCACTGGTCAATAATCCACGAAAGGGAAGGCATTACAAGCCAGTGATCTCGAGGGTATCGGGGCCACTCGTCTGCGAGGCAGGACCACCGTGATCGGCGTGGTAATGGTATCTGAAGAAAATAATATCCTACTTCCCCGTCCCGCGCGCGGCGAGCCCGGTGGATATCGGAGGCCGGGCACGAAGGAGAGGCCCCCGATCACCGATCAGCGATCGCCGAATGAACGATTAGTATCTCGTGTCGTCGGCATCGACGTCGGGCAACCCGTGTACCCCGAACGTCTTACGTTTTACACGCTCGTGGACATGGATATCGTTCGGGATCGCGTCCTCCTGCTCCGAGCCGCGTTTCCTCGGATGTGCTCAGTAACCTTTCCCGGACCGGAAATCGTTTCTTCGACGCTACATCTGCAGACGTTTAGTGGACATTCTATTGTTCCTAAAAAGATAGATGTTCATTCGTATACAAATACGTCTCGAACATAATTCAGGCTAGAATTTCTTTAAATAGTTTTATTTCTTCCGCCGCGTGACGCCGTCTACCCGACGGGGGATGGTTGTAGATCTTGGAACCTCACGTTGTATATATGTTAACCAGAAAGACGGAATTTTTAATTAGCCTATAAGTGCGGAGATTATTGTTTATGTCTGTAAACAGAAAGATCACGGATCAATACGGATTATACGCTACTTCGATAAATGTGCTTTTTACGGTTCTTGTAAGGCTTTCTGTAGCTTGAACCTAACACGTTCAGCATGAAATTGTTTCAGGGGGTGATTTTCCGTTACACTCGTCAGGAAAATCGATATTTTATTTTTAAATTTATTTGACATTCTTGTCGGTACTTTTGACGAATAAAAATAAGGTTAATACCTTTAATATTCATCATCCATTATATCAATCAACGTTTGGACGCTACTGAAGCCACTGGAAATATTTAAACAAAGTCTTGAAAGTGGCCTGCTAAGGATAACAATCGTCATCTCAATATTAAAATTTCAACAACTCACAAATAAACTTCTAAGGAAAGAGCGAAAGATGTACCAAATATTTAGCGCGCGTCATTCAAATCACCGCTGTAGCACCCCAAGAAATGAAAAAAAAGTGATTTCCAAGATTTAGAGGCGCTAGGGGTGCATGATACATGCTAACAGCCGACGGGAAAATGGAAAACGGGAAATGTTTGCAAATCTTTGCAGCAAAACACCTTGCCGAAGAGGCTCGGCGCGGAAGGTTAACACGTCGGGGTAGGGGTACGCACGTGGAAGAAGAGGACGGTACGCACGTGGAACGAGGGCGACCGAGGGAGAGGAGAAAAGAGAACGAAGAAGAGGCCGGCCCATGGTGGAGTGGGGTCGGATGGTACGTAGCTAGTGTATAAGGGGTGAGAGTGGGTGATAGTAGGTGGTAGATCTCTAGTTAGCCAAGACACATTGACAGGGCATCTTGCCAGCATGGCAGAGCAGCACGCGGCGCACCGTCCCTTCGAGACTTCTTGTTGTCACCTCGGAATTAAAGCATCGTAAAAGAACCGAGACTTCGCTACAAGACAAGCGTAACACCTCCTTACTGCCGTCCACTTAGCATAGGCTACCCAAGTGCAACCGATAATCGCTGTGATTTCGACTATTCTTTTGGATAATCTTGGAAGTGAAGTGTTCTCCTTGGTGGTGCAGTCTGCTTTCACGTTTCCCTTTTATTCACCTGAAGATGTAACCGAAGGGGGCGAAATGTGCTCAGTCGGAATCGAAAAGAAAGGAGTTTCAGACATGTCCGAGAAGAAGATACGGAATTTGTACAAGAACAGGAAGAAGAACTCGAGGGATCTTTGAAGACTGTGCGACGATGATGTTGCGTACGGTAGTGTAGATTAAGGGAGAAGAGTAGTGAGTTGACAGTGTTGATTAATTCGATTCGAAGGATTGATATTTCGATGGACTGTACGTTGGTGGTACTCTTGGATTGTTTGTCGGTGGACGAAGACATCAGAGGATTTTGGTCTTTCGTTAAGGGAAGTGATAAAGTCACGGAAATAAGGGTGATTTACAGCCGCCGAGTACGAACAGCCGAATCACGTGGAAGATACGCATGGTTTTCAGGCTATGAATGAAAATATCTGGCAGATTTTCTGCAGAAGCCTTTAGAGGAAACCGGCAGGTCTTCCAAGCCATAAAGGTACCTTCCATACGCTCGGTCCATATGCACGTGCATTTTCCTTTCAGTCATTCATAAGAGTCATTCATGAGCCTCGTTGATTTTTCGTCATTCCGCCGTGGCTCGGAACGGGATTAATAACGAGATTTTATAAATATTTAATAAACATTACGGGGATTTCAATCATGCTTTAGATTGTGCGTTAAAAAATCCAAGAAGAACGGTTTTCATGATTTAACGAGACCTTAAATATTTTGACCGCTACTTCGAGACTATTTACAAGAACTTTAAAGTATGTGGAAGGTATGGAATAGTTAAAAAGAATTGTACATCTGATTTTAAATTGAAATAAAAATTAATAGAATTTCAAAAAGTTTTGTTGGAATTTTGGACATTGAGATTGGAAGATTCTATGGGAATATTTGTAAATTACAGGTCTTTTCGTAAATTGAATATGGTGTAAAGTGTCTCAAAAGGTTGAATGAGAAAACCAGTGACGATTGTAAAAAACAATACACAATTTGAATTGAATTTTTGAAGATCAGTAAGTGTTACGTCTATTATTCCTTCAACTTAACTTATGCGACATATTCAACAATGCACCACAGTTGAACAACTTTCCAAATGTTCGCAACAGAAACCCACGGTAGAAAATTCTGATTTCATACAATAAGCACTCCTCATTGACCCAGGACATTGATTTTTTATCAATTTTTCAAAGAAACAGAAAATAAATTGAAAATGTTTTCTTTTCGGGTTATAAATAAAATGCGAATTTCAATGAATACTTTTGAAATTCTCATTTTAACGCATTTTAAATATTCAAGCATATCTGGAATCCATAAAATCCGTAGTCTGGCTATAATTTAACTTTCCCTTAGCTTTTAGGTATCTCTTGATCTGGATCATTCGCGAATTCATCCTTTCGCCTTTACTATGATCCTCTAACCTTCTTCAATCTAATTTTGAACTGATTTCTGTAAAAATTTCTCGAAAATTTCAACGACTCCTTTACCGTATCGTTATCTGCAATTACAAGAAAGTTCAAATCTCTATTCGTTGAAAATTTTTATAAGTTCATTCGCATGCCAATGTGAAGCACAATAATTACTTCGTGATGCTAATTTTTTCATCAGTTTGATGGAATAATAACTCTCTTTCTGAAGTAAAGCTGTTCAAAAATATTCAACCGCTTACAACCATCACAATTTATAAAAATAGAGGAAATAATCCATAACTCTATCTACCATTTCATCATATCATAAATAAATATATTTACTATACAAAAAATTGAAAATGTTCATAGATCTGCTCATTTTCATTTCTTTTACCAATTTATTTTATTCTACACTGCCAATGTAATGCTAATGGTTAACTCTTCACCTACCAAAACCATACAACAAATACCCTCCCAGAAATTCATTAATATATAAGAATATATTCAAATACTCTCAGCAGATAAACTTCACTCAAACCACAGTAAATCTCACACAGCTATTTAATATTCTTCGGTTAACATTAAACACAGCCTTCCATTCAGCATAACGACCATCAAATTAACAGAACATAGTAAATTTCTTCAACAAATGTTTCATTCATCCAATTTCAATAGTATCCAATTACTATAACATACGAAAGTCACAGGTTATTCTTTAGTAATAAATTAATATGGTTTGTCGCCGACGAGTTCAATCAAACCATTCCAAAACCGCTGTCAACGGAATTTTCCGAATTTTTTCCCATGAATAGCTCATTCTCCGATCCGTCGGATTCTTTCCGATTGATTCGAAAATATTGCACGATATATTGACGAAGAAGTTGGCGATACTCACGGAGCAATGTGCGGTTGCTAGGGCGACCGGAGGGGCTGGACCGCATCTCTGACGAGAGGAGGAAATCCGTCCGCGTATTTTGCCGCGCAGCGGGGCGAGGGGGGTGTTTCTAAGGGAGGCTGCGGCCAGAAATTTCGCAGAGATGGAGTTCCTGCAGAATCATCACACGGTGAACACCGCCGAACCGCCGTACACCCTCGGCACAGGTGAGCCATAACAGCGTCACTCGAATAAGACTTCGTCTATCTTCCAAACTGTGCGTGCAGCCCAACTGATTCCCGTGAACGATAGTTTTACGCCGTCATCGAATGATTTTTCCAGCAGTAACACCGTTGACCGATCGTTTGATTACCATTTTCTAGTGTGCTTACACCTTAGCCTTCAATTAAAGTTCAGTCTAATGTCGAACGCTTTCGGAATGACGATTTGTTTGTAACAACGTATGTTATTGTAGAAGTCACATGTCATCGATGATTTCAGAAGTTTATACGGTATCTATATCCGTTTCTTCATTGAGAAATGTTGCCAGTCATTGTATTAATTTGGTACGACAGACGCGATAACGAGTGTCGCAGATAATCGGCTGATAGAGCAGGACTACGCGATATTGGTCGAAGTGTGAATACTTTGTTTCGAAGGATTTTACGTGTGAGATGAAATTACATTATTCTTAGAAGCGATCTCCGATGATCTTTAGCAACGATCACGATCGTAGTAAACTCGATCATTTTGGTAACCAATGTATAAAGTGAATTGAGTTTATAATTATTTCATCTGATACAGAATTTACTAATTTAAGAATAAACTATTTTAACAGTTTTTTGCATTTTAATAACTAATTTATAGAGCGAATCAAACTTATATTTATTCCATTTTATAGAGGACTTGCTAAATCAAAAGTACAGTTTATTGACACCTTTTTTTCATTCAATTAAACAGGTTCGGTAGGAAGCATCGAGGCCACTATACCATCCGGCCTCTGCACAGGACCTCTAGGGGTGTTGTCCAGCGAGGACACTTTAACGGACAATCAGAACGAGGAGACTCTAGGGGCTCTGCAAGGCACCCTCCGTCTCCAGGACCTGCAAGGTTCCCCGGAAGACATCGGCACCGATCAGAGTCAGCAGATCCAGAATTCTGGACAGAACCAGGTCGTCAGCGAGTTCGGGGCAAGCTTCTGGGTCGACGATATGGCCGGCTTCCCGCTGCCGCCACTCGATTTGGACCCTCTGCCTCCTAGCCTCTTCAGCCCCTGTTCAGGAACTTACAAGTAAGTCATGTGGAAATTTCTTATCGGTTAAAATTTGAATTTTTTCATTCCAAGTTGAATATACTCGAATCCACTAAATTTTCTTCTGTAATGGATGTTACAATTTTATGTGAAAGCTTGTCACGCCAAATGATAGATAAGTGAAGTTTAATATGGCTGGAAGTGTAAGCATTGGGTTGAGTTTTGACAGGAAAAATGATTTCAGATGAAAAAATATTTGGTATTCGATCTTCTTCTATTGCTGAGAGAAAATTCGGGAAGACAAACTGAAGAAATGTTTTAGATAGGATTGTTGTAAGGGTTTTTGATATTCCGTGAAAATGGCGCAGAGTTTGAGGTCATTTGAGTGTTTCCGTCTGGCTAGTGCTTGGACATTCTACTTGAACTCCCAATACAATTGCTATGAGTTTATAGAAACACATGAATCTGCATTAAAGTTCAACCAATTGTGTATCACAATTATCTCAAGCTAAATGAATCTCCAATTTTTAATATCGAAATTTCTAAATAAAAAGAATATTCTAACTTTCTGAAACTTTTTTCTCCATAGTTGACTATTAAACAATTATTTCCTTCTTAGTATATTCACAGAATCTCCTCTGCAGTTCCATCATTCGAGATAAGATCTGATTCCACTAACAAAAACATAAATCAAGTGCTTTCATCGAAAGATAACTTCTCTACTGGTAAAACGTAAATCCTACCAATTGAAAGATGATTTAACAACCGTTGCTTAAAAGAATCTGAACGGACGAGTGGCTCAGAATTGACAGTGACACCGTATCCGATGTACCGTGTAATTTTCAAGTGTCCTTGCAGTTGGAGTTGCCCCAGAGGAGAATGCGCGCCAAGAACGAGCAACGCGAACGGCGAAGGTGTCGCGGATGTCCTGCTATCTCTAAAACATGCGGTGGTTCATCCCGGAAGTCCTACTGGTGGATATTACCCGACGGGAGGATCGGGTCATCATTACTCGCAGGATTACACGCAAAATCTTGGTCCGCCCGTGCCGCCCACACATTACGCGTCCACACCGGCCATGTCGGTGAACGTTTCCATGAATATGACGATGAACATGAACATGCACTCCGGGTGAGTACGACCTTCGTGTACCCGATGACATCCACATTCAAGCGCGGAATGCAAAATGATTAATTACGGCGGTTCTAGTAGTTTTGTCGCGATTAATCCTCATTTGCCATATCATTTACCTTTCCGTTGTCATTTCTCTACGTAGTTGAAGTCTAATGTGCTTACAATTTTCATTAAAAATCTTGTAAATCTTGCATTTGTAGCTAACACACTCAAATATTTGAGAAAGAACGAAATGAAAGCTTGAACGAACATCAATTATCCTCATTTCTATCCACTGCAATCATTGTATAATTATCTTAGAGAATACGAAATCATATTCAATTGTGAAATGAAACTATTCACAGGAATAAATCTCTATTGACTATTCATCGCGAGAAGCAGCGTACTCAGGCTCGCGAAAACAGGAGAGAAGATTCGCCATTTTCTCTGCCGCAGGGGTGGGCAACCCCCGGTGGCGGGGGTTGCGAGGACAAAGTTATTCACTGGTTGTTGTCCGTGTGTAGGTACGAGCAGAGCTATTCGTCGGCGTGGGGCGTGGAACCCCTGCTAAGTCCCGCCCAGCAGTATAATCCCGTGGAGCAACAGACGAGGGTGAATCAACCCCCGGCCAATAGCCTGATCGGCACCAGCACCCATCCTCACTCGCATCCCCCGGCGCACGGCCATTCGAGGCTGCAGCTATCGGGCGAGCATGCGCTCTGCATAGGTGCCTCCGGGAACCCAGTCGCGTCCGACGACAATGGCAGGCCTAACCTGTGCAGAATCTGCGGGAAATCGTATGCGCGGCCCAGCACCCTGAAGACGCATCTCAGGACGCACTCCGGGGAGAAACCGTTTAGGTTAGTGACGGAAGTAATCTAATTACCACCGGGAGACCTTTGATCGATTACCCAGGTCTGACCTCTAGTTTGCTCGCTATGGGAACTTCCGAAAATTTTGATTTTAAGAGAGAATCCTTGTAGATGGAAATTAACCCTTTGCACTTGAGAGATGACTATCAGTTACCACTTGATTTGACGCAGTAAAATTATGAAGTTTATTTAATGATTTTTCGCTGTGTGAAATATTGAAATAAAATAGTTTTGTTCCTTAACACGTTCGCTACCAGCGTCACATACTTGTGACGGCCGTAATCCTATATTTTACATAATGAAAATGACATTAATCTTGTAGATATTGTTATTAGAAATTACAAACTACGACATTATCTTTAGGAACTCAATGACTCGTTTCAGTTTCATTTTTCTAATATTTTCTTTAGAAGATTTATTGGATTGAAGAAAATATAATTGAGAGGACCGTCGTCGAAATAAGCGCTGGTTGCGAACGTGTTAACTTATGTGTGAATTATTGGCAATTTCTTGATTCAATAAAATACTATCTATATCTCATTAGAAAATGTTGAATATTTCTAGTGGAAAACTTTCGAGAGCAAAGGGTAAAACTATGTAAATGATGTATGTAAAAGACCCTTCTCAAAGGAAGATATATCTTTCTTTTAATTATACTATACTGTCTTTTGTCTTGAACATTTAAAAATGAAATAGAAAGGTATCGATTTACGCTATTAACTGGACAGTAATAATAAAAAGAAACTTACCTTTAATTTGCAAATACACACATGCACGTACAGTAATGTGAGAACCAGTGGAAAATTGTATGTACAATTAAAGCAAACGGTTAAACTGATAAAAAAATTCGATTGGCGCAAGTCTGAATACTCCGAAAATGTAAGCATCGAGTTTGAAACAGTTTTTCGAAAACAGGAACTCTATTTCATCTTACCTGCAATTTACTGTTGCTTAGATCAACTAATTATCAACACTAACGATTCAATCGATAATAAATCTTCAATCTTTGATTTATAATATTCAAAATCCATTTATTCACAATGTTCATTGTCTTGAAAATTTGAAAATACTCATTTTATGATTTTGAAGGTGTCACGCGTGTTCCAAAGCGTTCAGCCAAGCGGCGAACCTAACAGCCCACGCGAGAACACATTCCGGGGAAAAACCGTTCCGTTGTCCCGTATGCGATCGAAGATTCTCGCAGAGCAGTTCCGTGACTACACATATGAGAACGCATTCGGGAGAGCGTCCGTACAGGTGAGTTTCGTTGAGTTCACTCGAATCGCTTTTATTATCTTAAATTTCCTCGGAAGAACACGCATCGCTGCAACAATTCTTGCTGCTTCGGCTACTTAACCACCGTAAACAGCAAGAATCCTTCGAACGCCTAAGTTAGGCGCCAACTGGTATGCAACCGTTACTACACGCGCGCTGTGCGGTTACACTTACAGATACTAACAAAAATATTTGAACAAGGGTATGAGTGCGAAGATTATTTTTTAAGACACATTCAGCAATTCTACTTCAACAACTATACAATTGCAGTATATTTTTTTTCGTTATGCCTGTATATACATTACAGTCTTAAAAATAATCCGTTTTCGTATCGTTTTACTTGTTCAAAAATTTTCTCGAGTGACTGTACACGGAACCATAGTTCCTGCAACGTACGGTAGACGGCGTCATAGTACAATCCCATCTTAAGCGCATTCGAACGTCTCTCCGCAACTTAAATGTATCTTACTCTCGTTTTTCCAGATGTCGATTCTGCAAGAAAGCTTTCTCGGACAGCTCGACGTTAACGAAGCACCTGCGCATTCACTCCGGCGAAAAACCGTACCAGTGCAAGCTGTGCCTGTTGAGGTTCAGTCAGAGCGGCAATTTGAACAGGCATATGCGAGTTCACGGTGGCTCCCTGACGTGACACAGCTCGCTGTCGATCATCGACGACAATCGAATATTGCCACGGTGTTGTCGTATACCTGTGATTCAACTTGGCCCGAGCTTA